GGGCCTCCTTCAAGGAAATAAAGGCCTCTTTCAGCTTTCTAAAGGGTTTCCCTGACCAGGGTCTCTACGGGCCCTGACACGCCGAAGGCCCGAAAAGGACCGAGGCTATCCCGAACTCCAGCTTAATTCCTAACACCGCAACTCAAAAACATAGAAGCAAGCATCTGTGCACAAGAAAATAGATTCAATAACCCTAAACCCTCAAGACAAAATAAAAAGAAATTGTATGTGTTATCATGAATTTCCCAAGTTATTTGTCTGAGCCTTAAATTCCTTTTGCCTAGTCACGGCTACGCAATTTACTTAAACCTCCTTTGTCTGCTCGGATGCTCAATTTACTTAAACTCCTTTTTGCCTGGCCACGAATATTCAAATTTCCTTAAACCTGGGAGCTCTTTTCAGCACTGGGAATTAATTTTGAGCTTTGGGAGCTAATTCTGAGCCTTGGGAGTTAACTTTGAAGAAGCTAATTTTTTGCTTCTGGGAATTAATTTTGCATTCTGGGAGCTACTTTTGAGTTCCGGAAGTTAATTGAATTTTGAGCTCCGGGAGCTAATTTTGGGCTTCGGGAATTAATTTTGAAGTTCGGGAGCTAATTTTAAGCTTTGGGAGCTAATTTTGAGCTCCGGGAGCTAATTTTGAGCTCCGGGAGTTAATTTTGAGCTCCGGGAGCTAATTTTGAGCTTTGGGAGCGAGCTAATTTTAAGTTTAGGGAGCTAATTTTGAGCTTTGGGAGCTAATTTTGAGCTCTAAGAATTAATTTTGAGCTCCGGGAGCTGATTTTCAGCTTTGGGAGCTAATTTTAAGCTTAGCTCTGGGAGCTAATTTTGAGCTTTGGGAGCTAATTTTGAGCTCCGGGAGCTAATTTTGAGCTCCGGCAGCTAATTTTGAACTCCTGGAGCTAATTTTGAGCTCCGGGAGCTAATTTTGAGCTCTGGGAGCACGTGGCGAAGAGACCAGACAACAACGTAATCATAGTGGATTGGAAGCGCGCAAGCCCATCTCGGCTCCAACGCAAGGCGTGCAACAAATTCATGCGGACGCCATTAAGCCACGTCCCTGACTGCACACTGTGGCACTACCGCCTCCAACTCAACGTGTACAAGTTCATACTGGAAAAGTACTACGGAGAAGCTGTTTCCGCCATGTACATAGTGGGAACCAATCCCGAATACGGAGACCAACCGTTCATAGACAACGTTCCCACAATGGACGTCGAGACAAAGAATCTCCTAGCAAACGCGCGGTGAGGAGCAACAAAAAGCAAAACCTGCATGTGTTCTGCTGACAAATTCAACCTCAAAAACGTTTCGGTCAAAACGTTTCGGTCAAACGTTTCGATCAAAACGTTCGGTCAAAACTTTTCGGTCAAAATGTTAGCCCAAAATTGACCCCCAAAGCCCCAGAGCCCAAGATTGGCTCCCAGAGCCCAAAATTGGCTCCAAAGCCCAAAATTAGCCCCCAAAGCCCAATTAACTTCCAAAGCCCAAAATTGGCCCCCAAAGCCTACAACTCCACCCCCCCCCCTCCCCCCTCCCAAAAATGAAAAGCATAGTTCCAAAAAACAAAACGTTTCGGTCAAAACGTTTCGGTCAAAACTTTCGGTCAAAATGTTTCGGTCAAAACTTTCGGTCAAAACGTTTCGGTCAAAACTTTCGGTCGAAATTTTTTGGGACCCAAACCCTATACAATTTCTATAAACCCGAAACCCTAAACCCGAAACCTTCACAGGACGGATCCTTACTGACGGAGGAACCCTGGGAGGGCAAAGAATCCGATCGGAGTGATTTCGGGAAATTCATCCCGAAAGGTGTCAGATGGACCGGGCACGATACTACAATGATACTAGAAGACGTTTACTGTGCGCCAGATTACCGCAATAACGTCGAATGGTCTTTGGTGGAAGAGGACTCGGCCCAAACTGGGTTTGCCCGGGTCTTGCCCATGGAGGATCCAGACCCCATTTTCGATGAAGGCTACGAGCCCACTGGCCAACCCGGGCGACCCCCATCAAGGCGAGGCAGGGGCCGGGGCGGGATGCGTGGAGGCCGGCGATGGTCCCGACCACTCAGGGGGGAAGTATCTGGCCGATGGTCTCGACCACTACGGGGGGAAGCATCTGGCAAGAGTGGGCCAGTGCAGCCTTTAGATCTGGATTTGGAATCCGAGAGGGAGGGTGATCTGCAAGGTGAAATAGCAGTTCTTTTGGATCTTGACTTCCCGGATCCCTTCGCCGATTTCTTTGAGCCCGAGAAGTCAGACAAGCACCAAGCCGGAAATGGGGATTTCGAGGTCCTTCCCATCCCCTGGGATGGTGCTTGCCTTTATCGCGCCCTTCTCCTCGGCACACAGATCCGTTCTGGAGTAGCACGTGGCAGGCTTCAGACTTGGTATTAACAAATTTCGAATTGAATAAGGAAGCATACCCTCTTACTCATTATAAAGAGTGACAGGACCCCCTGCACGCCGTGCAAGAACTCAGGGAGGATATTTGTGATGCTATGCGCAACTGGATAGACTCCCTCCCCCAAGAACGGTTCAACCAGGTCACGCAATCCTTGGCATGGGATGCCCATCAGGATTATTTATACGTGTAGAGGCTTGTATTTGCCTCTTCATACATTTGTATCTGATAATAAAAGTTCATGCTCAGCAATCTAAGGAAATATAGGACGATCCTGCTTGGATGGAGACTTATGGACAATATTTCTCCTGGCATGAATATTGGTCCTGGGCAAAGAAACCCGATTCATATGGAATCTTTGTCAATATTTCCTCCTTCTGACATATATGAGACATTTCCATAGATATATACGCCCATCAAGCCAGTCGGAAAAATTGTATTTGGCAAGAAAGGATCAATACGGATGATATAGCGGCAGGCCCCATTTGTTTGCTACGAACTGGCAATCATTTTGATTTATTGGTCCGGCATTGATAGGACTCCTTCGCACCAATCGTTTCATCCAGAAGGAAAATGTAATTGTAGAACTAGTACAGATCACATTTCATGACTTTTCAAACTCCTGAATCCTAAGCCCTCAACCCCAAACCCCGAAGCTTCAAATGGAGGCCTAAAAGACCTATACCTTTAGGCCCTAAACCCCAAATCCGAAGCTTCAAATGAAAACCCAAAATTCTATACCTAAAATCCCAAAGTCCGAAGTTTCAAATGGAAGACCAAAAGTCCTGCTGGAAACCCCAAGGCCACCCCCTCCCCAAGCTAAACCAAAACCAATTACAATCATTATTCGTATAAGACCTTCATAGGCAATCGAAGGCCCTCATAAAAAAAGAAGACCCCTCATGGATTCATATAAGGCCCGAGAAATCGAAGATCCTCATAAGAAATCAAAGATCCTCATGGAAAACCGAAGATTCTCATAAAATCCCGTGGACATTGGGAATTGGCAGAGTATAATATAATATTATAATATATATATAAGAAAGACTAGAAATATTAGTATTTTCAATTATTGAAAGATCATGGAAAGATATATATAATGAAGGAAAATACAACGGGGCCAAGTCTGATCTGGGCCTCGGATTTAAATATTGGAGCAGATAAGATTAGACCTGAATCTAGATTGTATCTTTTTATCTTGGACCTAAATAGACCCTGGCTCTGGAGCCTAGGATGAAGGAAGATAGAACGAATAAAGAAAGAATTAGATTTGAATTTAGGTAGGACCTATATAATTAAAATCTCAAATAATAGAAGAGAAAACGAATAAAGAAAGATTTAGATTTGATTTTGGGTCCAATAAAATCTAAATTTCGGGTGATAGAAGATAAAACGAATAAAGAAAATTTTTAAATTTAATTTCGAGATCAATCTAATCTAGACCCCGCATCCCGAAAGAATGATATATAATCTTGAACCCTATCTTGAATTCCATCCTAATTTCTCAAATATATTATGTCGACCATTATGAGAAATAGTAATAGTCCATATGCGTGGAATAATTAAAATTCATCAAAAAAATAGAAAACCTATTAAACCCCCCTAATTTTTCCAACAAAAATATTAGAAAACCCCTAATCATCCAAAAGAAATATTATTATAATTTTCGAAATTCTAACAAAATCATTCTCCTCATTTAAAATTCCAAATATTATTTCTTCTTTTTTGATATTAAATATCTCTAAAGCGACGACCATCCTAAAATATTATATCGAAAAATTTGATCTAAATTTTCATGTCGACAAAATCTTTTCAATATATACATCGTATCCATAATCGAAATATAATAATTTAAAGAATGTATTCGATCTCATCTAACTCGAATGAAAATAGAGTTTTGATTTGATTCCGAACTAAAATTCGTCGATAATAGTTGATAAATGAAAGCTGCAAGATAATCTGAATATCTTCAATATTGAAAAAAATATTTGTCGGGATGATTCGATTAACAGTCGATTTTCCTGAATATATCTTCTATCTTCTCGTAGGAAATCAATTTCGGGGAGATATTTCAGAATTTCAATTTCTTCCAATGATTAGGAAATTCTTGGCGATGGTCGACATTATCTAATAATTATCCATCGTGCCCTTTTGAACTCCTCATCGCGTGCCAAATCCGGAAGTCATTTTCATCGACGAGTTCACATACAGCATTTGTTTCCAGCTGGGGGACTTTGCAACCAGCGTATGAATGTCCATCGGCTGTCGGAACGTCGGTTGCGGATATCATCCATGCCAGAACGAATATCCGTCAGAGCACCTGAAGAGCCGCTTGTGCTTCGTACTACTTGAAAGCCATACTGGCCAGGATTCCCAAGCCTCGCATCCACATCCTATGTTTGGTCGCCGGTGCTCTGCGCCCAGAAATCTCTAGGCGCTGACAGCATAGCAGCTGCCTAACGCTAAGCCCTCCCGCAACAGGTCTTGTGGCCTTTCAGGCAAATGGTCTGTGCTGCTCCTTTTGCCACCTGTCGGTTCACTGAAGAGTTGACTCCCACAATCTGCCCCAAGTTCACGGCGTCACCCTCAAGAATCTTCACCATGCAGCAGAGGCCTCCCGCCAAAGACTGGGAAGGGAGCCAAACAGACAGACAGACAGTGAGAGTGAGAATGAGAGTAAGAATCTCAGTGTCTGAAAAACCGGCAACCGTACGTTCTTGCACTGTTCCAGCCTGCGTCCTGTGTCCTTCTCTTAAATACAGCACAGAGAGCACCTCCAGCCGGTCCTCCAAGTCTCGTCGTTTGCTCCTCAGGGGTCCACCATCGCTGGCATCATTCTTTGTTATGTGTCTTCTTGTGCGTGGGGTTGCATCTAGGAATCTAGGTTGTTGTTGGTTGAACTTTTTGTTGTTTGGTCAACAGGAGCTCCTTAGCCCAGTATCCGCCTTTGTTCGGTGGCTCTACACCAGCAGTCTACGCCGGGGACTCACCAAGCTCAATAACCTTTTGGCCACACCGCTATCGAGAGAGGACAGGGACGAGGAACTGCCTGGGAACTAGCTGATGACGGCCAGCCACTTTAGGGAGGACAGAGGGGAGAAACACCTGAGACGCAGCTAAGGGCCACCACGCCGGGCTGGGGACCCTGGGACATGAACAAAAACGATAGGAAGTGCACGGGGACTAGCTGATGAAGACCACGCCGCTCTCAAAGGAGGGGCGAAGGCACGCCGCTACCAGAGGAGGGCAAGCTTAAAGCAAACATCTCCGGCCCAGGGCATTAGCTGAGGACGGCCACGCCAATACAGCATGTAGCAGCAAGCAGGGAGTAGGACACAGGTAGCAGGCAGAAGCAGTCGCAGTCGCAGTAGCAGTCGCAGTGGCAGTAGCAATACGCAGCAATCGCAGTGGTGGTAGAAGCAAACATAGCAGCAGGGGTAGCGGCAATCGTTGTCGGAATTGATGCAACGACACAAAAACACAAGCAAGCGACAAGGATCAACAAAACAAAACAACAGCCCCCGCCTCTCGCGCCTAGCCTTCCTCTTGTAGTGCTCCACATCTTTCTCCAAGTCCCTTCGTCTGTCCCTCTCACGCCGGGCCTGTTTCGTGTAATGCTCCACATCCTCCTCCAAGCGCTTACCCTTCCTCTTGTAGTGCTCCACATCTGTTTCCAAATCCTTTCGTCTGTCCCTCTCACGCCGAGCTTTCCCCTTGTAATGCTCCAGATCTTTGCGACTGTTTTCCAATTTCTCCAAGCGCTCCTTCTCCCTTCGCTTTGCGTATTTTGCGATTTCGAGCGGAAGGATCACTTTGATTGGTCGCGCAGCAGGAGCGCTTGGAGGCATTGCTGGCGGAAGGATTGCAGGTGAAGGCGCTGCAAACGAATCGCAGACGTGGGCCTGCGCCGCAGGAGGTGGCTGTCTGGATCGGAACTCTTCGTCCTGATCAGGGTCTTCAGTGTCTGTCATCTTGCCTTTGCGTTGCCAGTCGGACCGATCCTGATGCGTGTGGCCACTGTCTTTGGCCTGCTTGTGTGCATTCCATTCATCCCACTCCTCACGAGTGTACTTGCGCTTCTCTTTGATGTCCATGGCTGGTGGCGACGGTGGAGAACCCAGCTTCTCCGTCTCCTCCTTGTCGGTGCTGGGTAGCGAGGCATACGTCTGCTTGTCCTGTCCGTGCTCGGCTTCTTTTGTTTCGTGCTCCTTTTGCTGGGCCTTCTTCTCGTCCTTTCCAGGGTGTCTCCGTTTGTCGGGGGCAGGCTGGGTGGCAGCTGTGGCTGGCTGGCCGTTGGCATCTGCTGAAAAGGCTGCGCTGTTCTGCGTGTGGAACTGACTGCCACGGGCACCCTCTGCTGGCTTCTTTGGTGTTGTGGGGTCCTTCGTCGTGACTGCTTTGTCTGCCTTCCTCTTGGTGCCCTTCTTCTCGCCGGCATCGATGAAGGCACTCATGCCTGCCTCGGCAAGAAGCCCTGTGTAGACCCCCTTTATCCTTTTCGAAACTTTGTCGTTCTTACTGGTCTACAATGATTCAATGATTCAAGCAGGTTGCCAAAGCAAGTACGTTTATGGAGAAGGGCGTGTACTACTGGCTTAGTGCTGGAATTGGGCTTTCTGTGAGCTGGACTTTCACTTGGGGGGAAGCCCATCCAAAGGCCATCAAAAAGTTCCTCCCCCCAAGCCCATCCAAAGGCCACTAAACAGTTCCCCCTATAAGCCCATCCAGACGCCATCCAAGAACCAAATAAAAGTTCCCCCCAAGCCTACGCAAGCATCATCAAGAAGTTTCCCCAGCCCACTCAAACGCCATCAACTGGAAACTGAGTAAATTTCTAAACTTGTCGTTTTGTTTACGGTGGTGATCGGCCGTCACCTCTCTCCAGCCATATCTTTTCTTGTGAACTCCTTCTCGATATACAGCATATGCTACAGCAGTCCCCTTGAACGGAACACCCATTTCAGAAGTCCGCAACATTTAACTGTAAGCCATTTGCGTGCAAGGGGCGGATCTGATTTGGATCTCACGACGCTTCTCAGTCTCCTCCTTGTCAATGCCGGTCAGCTGCGCATTCTTCGCGGCCTCGTACTCGGATTTCGCTCTTTCATACTCCTCTCGGTAGTAGGCCTTGTCGTCCTCGCCGAGCATAGTCCATCTGTGAAACGCACATTTTCTGATGGCTGAGATTGGCACGGAGAAGTGTAGCCTCTCACCCGCTCGAATCTGCGCGTAGAAACAATCAAAAGGCGATTTTGGCAGTAGCTTCATGCCAGGCCTTCTGCTGGTGCTGGGGGATGCCTTGGCTGTGGCTTTAGCCGTTTTAGCCTTGGCCGTTGCCTTGATCTCCTTCTCGGCACTCTTATCCTGAGCTGCCTTCTCGGCATCCTCGTTTCCGTTTGCTTCCTTATTCTCCTTGGCCAGCCGCGCGTTCTTCACAGGCTTCTCGGCCTCCCTGTAGGTGGCTAGCCGGACATACAGCTTCTTGGCCTGTTCGTACTCGGCTTGTTTTATTTCGTACTCCTCTTGGTAGACCTTCTTCTCGTCCTCGCTGAGATGCTTCCATTTCTTGGAAGCAAGCTTGGTAACGGCTGCGACCGGCTGGCCTTTCACATCTTTCGAAAAAGCCGCCCTGTTCTGCGCAAGGAAGCAACCAAACCCGCCCCCTACCGGCTTCTTTGGTGCAGCGGGATCCTTCGTAGCCTGCGTGTCTGCCTTCCTCTTGATGCCGCCGCCGGCATCGGTGAAGGCGTTCATGTCTGCATCGTACTTTGCCATGGCAGGAAGAGGCTACGCCGCTCGTCCAAAGGGCAAAGGGCGTAAAGACTCCAGTAAATGGCTGTTTCCAAAGTCTTAATGAATGCTGTTTACCGTTTACCCTTGTATTTATCCCATTCGGTCCTTTTCTCTCCTCAAATTTAATAGTGGCCACTTTGTCGAAGGGGCTGTCTTGGCACAGTTCCATACAGCTGAGTCGAGACCAAGAGCGCGCGCCGGGCTCACTTTGCACACTTGGCCCCAATATCGCGGAACTGAATCAAGATAAGCACGCAAGCAAGGTCTTTTCCGGAACTCGGGCACAGCCAGCAAGCATCATGTGAAAGGGCGCTTGCCTTACCAAGCCTCTACATCACAACATTTACTTCCGTGGCCTTCGAGCCCGGCGGCTTCAGGCCTCAGAGGAATCTTTGTGGATCCTCGGCGGCCACAAAAAGGTATTACTGTATTAAAGATGCAAATGACATCGTAACAACGTCAACTCCTCAGGGGAAAACTGTTGCACAGATGAATCCCGGACACAGAGTCAAAACGCTTTCCTCCCGAGAATGAGGCGATGTCATGGCCACCAACATCAACTGTGCAAACCTGGCTAAGAAGATACCCACTTCTGGACGACAAGCCCTAATTTGAACTCATGTCCCCGCATCGCAGGCACAAGCTCGTGGTTCGTTTTCGCGCTGAGCCAAAACAGCCGTCGGCAAAGAATGACATGCAACTATAGCGGTCGCTTGACAATTATGCCTGTGTCCGTGCTGACGACAGAGCTTGCTGATCCGCTACCAAAGTCGAGGCTGCCCCCCCTGATCCACTGCCAGCAAAAGCACCCACACCCCACGCTAAATTCAAGACATGTGAATTGGGCTTATTTGGCACTGCACACAAGAGCGAACACACAAACCCTGTCAAAACCATAAAGCGTCGCAATTGCACCGGTGTGCTTTTTGCGCTTGTGCCCAGTGGCAGGCAATGCATCAGACCATCATTGAAGTTGCCGAACGACTGCTTGGCCTGACCAGAGTTGAACGAGGGCTGGGACAGGGAACGAGATCGCATTGGCGTTACAGTGTCGAAAGCCAGAAAACATGTCATTCCCACTTGCGGTCAGACGGCTGCGTGGATGCACCGTGAAAATAGTCCACCTGCAAGATGCCATTAACAACCAAGGAATACTTGCGGGACTGGAAAACTCGTGGTCGCAACACCTGCGCTGTCCACGCCTCTGAAGTAGTTCTGGCCGGGCTTTCGGTGGTCGTGTTGGAAAAACAAGATGCAGGGAGCCTGAGCAAGCCACCGACGTGCTGAGCTGTGCATCCACTACTACTCACATGCGATTCCTTTCGTCCAGGAAGGGTGCGGAAGGAAGATACATGCTGAAACTCCCTGCGTTACCCGGCCCCTACCAGCCGTGAACCCCAAGCGGGAATGCAACCTTTTTCATCAGCTTGTTGCTGACAAGGCTGTGGAAGCCCGTGAATGAATCCTAAATCAAGAGCGAGAGAAGGGGTATTTAAGCTAGAGGAATCCGCCCTTTAAATACAAAGTCTCGAAAAACATAGTTAGAAACAAAGGCCATTGGATCAGCCATCAAGTGTGCAACTCGACGAAAGCAATCTCTTATATGTTGGTGTGGCCGCCTCCAAAAACACACGTCGACATTGGCTAGTGGGCATTTCTTGGTCTTGACGATGAGCGTGTACGCCGCTCAAAACCCCGAGATAGAGCACTCACAGGTTCGAAGGTGCTACTATCAGCGGCATCTGTGAGGTAAAGAAGTAGCCTGTCGGTCTCTTGTCAAAGGAAAAGGCAATACAAAGGGCTCCAAGCTTTGGAATGCTGTCTGTTTTTGGTCCAGCGCTATGAACGAATCTTCTAAGGCATGGTCGTAATTTCTGGACACCAATGTGACACAGATGAATGCGAAAGCTACAGCTACACCAGATTTAGTATTATATCTTTACATGCGAGCAAAAGGAAGAAAAAGGGCCGCCATGAAGCAATGAAAAGGAATGATTCAAGCAGCGACACGCTCTGAGGGGTCGAGCGCCTTGACGCACGAGATGTGGGAGGTGTTCTGGTGCAGACAACGAACATTCCATCACCCCCTCAGCACAGGTTGACGATGTTCTGAAGTTCTATACGATGCTCACAAAATGTATCGCTGAATGCAGGGTGAAAGCTAACCCCCTCACCGGGCTTTGCCTCAAGAGAGTGGCTTGAGTTGCCAAGCCAAAACGTCGGCACGCAAACAGGGACGCCCTGCATTATGTTGCGGAAACAACTCCTACCCTTTGGCCTACGCCAAGCCCTGCGCCCCAGTGAACAACAACTGGTGGCAGCCCAGTTGGAGTGGGTGGGCGGGTTGTCAGAGCCATTGGCGGTGGGATAGCTGGCAAAGCCGGTGAACCCAGTAGGTTCGCACGCGCATGGACACCGTGTCCCCGAGATACGTTCGCTCTGGTGTAGAAGCCTGTCAACGTGAGCGAAGCTAATCTGGGCAGGCGTGGCCGTCAAACCCCAAGCAGCACAGGCGGCAGGCGCCGGTGCTGTGTTCAGGAAATCGCGGACTCGTAAGCCTCCGTTTCGGAGGAACGTATCTAGCCGCATCTAGCCAAGCGGCGGATGCAGGCGAGATCAACTCTACCCCAATTGGCATCCACATCAATGCAGATCCGATTCAGGATGTGGTGGCAGGGTTTGGCGTGAAATAGGCTGCTGGCAGTCATACCTGATATCATGCATCAAGCAGTTCGTGGACGGAAGGCTAAGCAGGCCGTCATCAAACTGGTACCGCACGCGACTTTTGAAAGGTTGTCAGGGGTCGGTCACCGGTCCACTGTCAGTCGGCTGGCGCCGGCGCAGGCTTCTGGGCTTCGGGCTTACTGTAAGTTTCAGCAAAGGCGCGCGCCGCTTCACGGCAGGCATGGCGGGGAGAAGAAACGAGGCACAAAAAAGGGAACAGAGATGATGAACTCTGATTCTCTGCCCTCGGCATCACCAGGTTTAGGTAAAATTTGCTTTGCCGAGTGCGGAGACACGGCCACCGCAAACCCGGTGAACATGAATGGAGACACAAGCCGAAGGAAACCCGGCAAACCCATCCAACATGAGGGAAAAGAAAGGGAGACAGGTGGAGACACCGGCCAGCCCATACCCGGCAGACCAATCCGACAAGAAAGGAAGCAAGCGGAGAGTGGAGACGCCGGCCCACCGCAAAACCCGGCCGACCCATCCAACATGGAGGGATACAAAGAGACACAAGTGAAGACCCTTCCAACCTGAAGGGAGACAAAGCGGAGACACAAGACACGGGAAACACGACCATACAATCCAACAGGAAGGGAGACAAAAGGAGACAAGTGGACGTTAGTTTCAGTTTCAGATCCTGCTCCGCAGTGTGTACTCAAGACGCCAGACACCATGGTCACCTTTTGTGCAACGAACAGACCCTGGATACCGTGACACATGTCAGGGACTGTTTGTCTCTGATGTCTGTCATGTGTCTCCTGTGAAAGTAGTAGACCTGGATGCTGCGACGCCCATCTGGGTCGCCGGTGCTGCTATCCAAAAGCAAAAGCAGTGGAGGCTGGCAAAATCTGCCAACCCATTCTTGAGCTTTCTTGAATTTCTTGCCCTTCGGAAACGATGCATTGCCTCTTTCCGAATGTTGTTTCCAGTCCCTGCGGTTTACACAACAAGCGGGTTAGCTGGAGTGCTTGACAGATTGCGGTCCTTTTCTTCTAAGATCTGGTGTTTGACCGACTCTTGCTGGATATTTCAACGCGGGTTGAGGTTTTTCCGGCTATAACCATCTGCAAGACTAGCTACTAGTGACTTAGTGGCTTGAAACACAAGACATCTGTTGGACTGGGCCTTGGCTCGCCATGATTGGCCTGGTTACAGCTTAGTACTCAGACTCGACTCCAGACTCGAGCCTAATCCATAAACATCTATACTTACACCCTTGCAGGCGATGCAAGGCTTGCTCACATGTTCTAGCATCAAGTCTCGGGGATTGCCAACTCTCAGGGCTGCAACTGCTCAGATGCAGAGGCCTCTCTTGTGCAATCCAAGAAGCTGCCACTGGGCTGGGGTCGCCTGCACGCAGGGGCGGAATGTAGCACATTTCAGACTGAGGTCACGTGAACAGATTGCCATGGATGATTTTGAGGTCCCACCCTCACTCATTTGCCCTGTTCACGCAAAAAACCTTGCCAGGGCGAAGTGTGCCAACAGGATGGTTGTTGCTCGGCAATGCGTCATTTTGTTTGTGCCTTGCTTTGCACCGCCAAGCTCCTAGAGATCAAAGACAGCTGATTTGGTTACATTTTTCGTTTGACAGGATATGTACTCTCCGCATGGTGCGCCATCTTTATCCAGTGGCTATGTGCTGTGCATGCTGTGCAGACTGTGCCTGCTCTTACACAAGGAAGCTGCTTGCACTTCCTGCTGTTTCTCTACGCTTTACGATAATGGTTGCGCCCACGGTTGTCATGCCAAGGACTCTCAGTTCCTCAATCGCCTTCCGAGCCCCTTAAGAGCACTGATGCATGCTGGTTAGTTGCTGCCACTTTTGGCACAAGAGCTATTTGCGCCGGATGCTCGCAGAGATGCCTCTTTGAAAGGCTCCCAGGTGAGGATATCGAACGACATGCCGTCAAAGAAGACCCAACCTTTTAGCAAAGAGCCACATGCTACAAGACCGCATCAGGCCGGGGAATCCGAAGGTCTGGCGTGCTGGTGTCTTTGTCACTTCATCTTCAAAGTACGTAATGAAGGGGCCTGGCACGAACGCTTGCACAGTATATTGTCAATGCAATGCTGGAATCACCAGCTGGCCTGTGTAGTTTCCCATGGCGTCCCCCTTTGTCCAAACATGACCTTTGGCTGCATGATCCGTGAAGCAGTCAGTGCACTCTTCATGGCCTTCCTATGCTAGCTTGCACGCCAGAAGCCTCCAGGTACAAACAAACTACCTCTGATCAAGCTGTGAAATCTTTTTGGACGGAGCGATCACAAAGGTCGTGTGAGATCCCAGTTCCTCATCCGGGGTACACCTTGCTGCCTCCTCGGCAAGATGCGCGATGTGGGCTCAGCCAGGAGCAGTGCTTCGGAGGAACAGGGCTGACATGCGCCTGCATCCAGCGATACTTGTCTGGAACGCAGATCATAGCCCACCGTATATTCGTAAAAAAGTGGAGTGCCTAGAATCCACACGGGACCATTCTCCACAGTGTAGTAATCCATCTCCCCAAAGGCTGGCATACATACGGATTTGTTGCCAACAATGGTTTCGGTCACCCATGCCCAGGAGGTCAACTCGAATGTCTCAATACGCTCTTCGGCCACCTTAATGTGGAAGAAAATCGACGGAACCTCGCCCAGTCCGAACTCGTGAAGCCAGCTTGAACAATTCTGGAGAACCATGCCAAAGTCAAGCGCGGTGGGGCTTCCCTGCGCGTGTTGCCGGCACCTGGGCCATTTGCTGCAAAGCTGTGCCTGCAAGTGTTTAACCTGCTCCCCCGGGCCATTGATCAATGTGGTGCCGGAATCAGGGATGATGCCGCAGGGACTGGTCATAGCGCCCTTCATCGTCTCGGGCCCACAGAAGAGCACGTCTGCATCTGCGGGTCCACCGCGATGGCCAATTGACAAACCTTGGAAGCCAATTCCCCAGTGAAGCTTTCCAATCTGTTGAATGGGTCGCTGCAGCGGAGGGACGTGGAATCGCAGTGCCCCTGGGCGCTCCGCATCTTGAAAGCACATGGAAAAGCGATCGACTGCTGCCAGCTCCAGGAACAGCTTTTCATTATACGCTGCCTGCATCTCTGGTTGGTAAGGAACGGTAGCGGCACACAACTGAGGAAAAAGCAAGCAAACAAGGGCTTGCACGATTCCTGAGTAGTAGGGGTCTTGGATCTTGGTCATGACTGTCGAACCAGCTGCTTCGAGCTGCTGTCGGTGAGGTAGGCCAAGCCCCAGAATGCCCTGAAACTCGCCTTCCACCTCCAGAGCTGCTCGGTTGAGAATCAGTAGCAAGCCATCTGTCATGTTGGCGGTGATGGTTGAAACGCTGACGACGTCGCTGGCCACAGCAGCCTGAATCGTGCCGCTGCCGAAGGTCAACTCTGCAATCTTGGGGTTTTGTGGGATAGAAAAGGTTGTTGACCGGTTCGTTCCGCGAAAACATCGCTCATGTCTGCCGCAGCCAGTGCCCTGCATTTCAGGGTCCAGGTTTTTTTTCGTAGTTTTTTCTGTTTTTTTTTCGCGTTTTTCATGGTTTAGGGTAGGGTTTAGGGCTTAGTTTTTTTTTTAGGGTTTAGGTTCTCACCTAAAACCGTAAAAAACACGAAACAAAAACCAATACAAAAACGAAAAAAGAACCATCAGCCTGCATTTCATCACAAACGCAGGATGGCACAATGACGTTGTCGCTGCCAGTATCGGCGACGGCATCGAAGCACTGAGCTGGTGTGCCAATGCACACTTCGGCCGAGAAGAAGGTGCCTGGCAAGCTCGAGAGACCACGCACCGTCGAGCACTACCAGCACTCTTGAGGGGTTCACTTCTCTCTGCGAACTTGGGCCGAAGAAAACGGGCCCCCAAATTTCATTTATTTTGAACAGAGCTGAGCAAGAAAGGAATGAGAATTGAGGGGCTCAAAGCTTGGGGACCCCACCCCCGAACCTTAGAAAGGATTGCAGTCTCCCACCAAAGCGAAGAGGCCAGGCCCTTGAAATTGACTTCAAGAGCTTGGACTGGAAACAGGCCAAGTCTTTGAAATCCAAAGCCCTGCGGCTCGGGATGCCGTGCAATTTCAAAAGGGCTTTGAACCCAGAAGCCGGGCCATGTCAAAAGGTGGCTTTATGATGGAAACCTGGAGCCGCCCGACTCGGGCCAATTTTGTCCATATGATTTGTTTCAATGGAATATTTGGTTTCGGGTCAGTTGGGAGTCTAGTGATTCCAGGTTGTCGGGGTCTTGGAAGGAGAGGGCCGCAGGGTTTGGGTATACAGTATTTTGCCACCCGCCAAGCAGACAAGCCACACTGTGTATACAGCATTAGGGTTTTAGATTCTAAGCTTAGCTCAGAAAACTGTTACATGCACAAAATCCCCCATCCCCGAGACACTTGTCTTAACAGAGACCCACTGGCACCCCCAACAGTCCCCAGACTAAACAGCGTCCAACACTTCTGATTGAGCACGAGAATTGGTCTGCAACACGGCCTTCATTCTTCAGCGGCGTGCATACCTCCGGCTTGGTCCCGCTCATAAAAGAGCGCGTTTGGAACATGGATGCCCCTTTGGCGCAGTTGCTGTCGGCGGTCCTTAGGCTTTCGTTTCCATCTGGCTCCATGGTCCATGGTGAATGCAAAGCGCCAAGCACTACAAAACTAGCTATGGTTACATACCTATGTCCCGCCTGTGTTCAAACAACAACCGCTCCAACTCAAAAGTGCAAAGCCTGTGTAAATGCCAGCTGCTTCCGCACCGGTGGTGTAAAGTCTGCTTTCGTTCGTCCCGGGTGTAACATCCGTTCGGGTGATGTCGGTGCATTTGATATCTCCAAATTCAATTGGGGACAACGACCCCTAGAACTCGAACGTGCAATGTGCAGGGTCCTTGGAGATGCACTGAATCCTTTTTCCTACTGCTTCCGCATCGAAGGCGTAAAGTCTGCTCCGGTTCGTCTCGGATGCAATGCAACATCCCCGTCGGGCGATGTCGGCCCAATCGATCTCCAACTCGGGAGGACTGACTGGTTCCCGTCGACGGTGGTCTTGTCCTCCCGTCGAAAACGATCGCCATGGATCGCACGAGAAGCGGTTGACGCACAGATATGTTCAGGCAAATATCTTCGACTCCCTTATTCGAGGCGGGCGCCATGTCGCCAACGATCTTTAATGCGCAGAGGTCGAACACTCTCCAGTCAACACCCTGTCGACGCGCAAAGGCGACTTCGGGCACGCTCTCAAATCGACTACTGGGGTCGGAGATGCTAGCCTTGGCGGCCTTAAATTGGCTCGGAGCGCGATGCCTCTCCGGTTGTCATATTGCTGTCAGGGATTCAGGGATAGTCGACCTCCATCGGCTTGTTCCCAAGTAGTCATGCCAGCGTCGTGTGTCCTCGTAGTCGCACTCCCCCCCTTGAAATACTTTGCGAGTAGATGAGGTTGGGAAGGGTCGACAGATGGAGGTACTGACACTTGCTGACATGTCGAGGGCTGCACAAAGCATGAGGGACCCAATTCATTCAATCGAGACAAGTTCCTCGAGGAGTGGAGATCTTCCTTAGTAGCATCGACATAGCCTACCATCGAACGCAGCCCAGCACCTCTTCGAGCTTCGATTCTACGAGGGCTTCCGTCATCCGTCGATAACCTCGACTTTGAGTTGGCGGACGTCGGAGCATCCGCGGACGTTGCGGTTTGTCCCGACCTCATCAACATGAGGTCGTTCTAAAACTCGACGCAGCAAGGCGATCAGGCTCGAAGTTCTCGATGCCATGCATCGATGGTTGGTGCCGGTGTGGCACGTTTATACAGCTGCGTCAGAGACTTCTGATGGGAATGAGGAAAGGTATCTCCAGACTAGGGCGCGGCCTCTTTAGTCTCGAGAAACAGATGTCGATGCTCTGGACCGACTAGCTCCCAACCGTCAGCAGCCCAATGGCTGCCGGGGATGCCATGATGCAAATTCGGGCGCGTTCGCCAAAATGGCCATGCATGCAAATCATGTTCAAGTTAAGCAAGCCGAAGCACGAAAGATTAGCTCGAGTTGTCACTTCGAACACCGCCCTAAACCCTAAACTGTGTTGCGGGGCGGTCGTAGGAGAATTGTTGCATGAGCTTGTCACGGAGTGGGGTTGTCGCAAGGCGAACAGCTTTGTTGCAAAACCTATGTCGCCAAGGGTTACATACTCCACGTCAAACAGTTCTACTTCCTCCGGGTCGCTCTGCGAAGGTTGTGGCTGCCAACGCAGATAGTACTGCAAGCCTCGGCAGAGTTGATCTGCCAGCCATTCTTATGGAAAGCCTGCACAAGTGGCCGGCTGCGGTAAGCTCTCGGGAATGTACAAATAAATACCACACAGCTCGAGCCACGGGGCGAGACATTGAGCTTTGGAATTCATGCTGATGTGCCTTTATTCTGCTTGCTTTGCCGTCTCTGGTGCAATGGTGAGCACTGGTCTAGACTCAAGACATCTCAAAAGGAGCCACCGGAATGTGGAGTAAGGGCCATGCAACTGCGGACGGATTGATCTGCTGGCGATACTACCTCGTAACTGCTCGGCGTCTTTCGAGCACTGCTGATCAATAAAGAGCAAGGAAAGACTCAAACCTTATGCACAGCGCTAGGCAGATGCTCAGCTCGATTTGTGCTCCAACCTTTTTGCGAAAGATATCTCTGACTCTGCCTGTCGACGAGTTGCGGCTTGCTTCCCATGATAGCTGGCATCCTCGAGCCAGTTTGGAGGCAACAGTCCCACGCCCATCTCTATGACCTGCGCATGCCGAACATTGTTGAACTTTTTGAGCCGCACAAATGTGAGGATTTGAAAGGAAAGCTGTCTGCTCTGCAGCGCGACATGTTCTGAAGGCCTTGCAGGTGCCCCCATGCGTGTAGTAGTACCTTAGGCGTGTAAGTGCTGTAGAACACATTGCAGAGGCTGGCAAGCTCAAACCATCAGTGAATCAGTCTCGCACGTGCTGCCGTTTTGGCGCTCGTTGTCATAAAAGGGTGCTTCCCCGGGGCTCCTCTCTTGGGTATGCTTGAAAGTATTTGTTTGCGTCTTGCACGTACCATAAACATGTGTATATATATATATATAAATAATATAAACATATACAGTCCGCTTTGTGCAACTCAAACCCGCCGTGCGAGTATGAGCCTGTCTATGTGGAGATTGCCGCCGCCGGGCCAGTCGTAGAAAAGATCTGTGTGGCCTGAAGAGGATGCTGTGGGGGATGAACAGCAACCGACACTTGCAGCGGACGGAACTACCAACCAGCTCCTTCCTGCTTGCGACTCAAGCTGCGCAACTGGCCGCTGCGGTTCTTGAGCATGTATGCGTGGAACCTGAGTGGTCCCCCTTTCCATCTCTATCTAGTGCACTTTGAGCATGCAGCATGCCATCACCATGCAGAGGCAACGCGAGGTCCGTGCACCGTTGGCCAAGGCGAAGGTTGGGGGATGGAGGTAACCACCGCCATGGTGGCGAAGGCTATCTTAGCCGCAGGGCACTTTACAGAAGAGATCGTGACAGCAACACGACCCACAAAGATGCAGAAAGACACGCAAGCCTACAAGCAGCATCATTCCCTTGCTGCTGGGCAGCCGTTGCAGATGTACAGATGCTCGCCATCCTGGGCGGGCCTTGCGCGCAGCTAATCTCATGTGCTCGGTGAAGCTGTGCAACGCAGCAGTTGCTGTCCTCCACTTCAGGTCGTGAAGCTTAGCAGGCAGCCATTTGCAGGCAGCCAGGACTGTTCCGGAAGGTTCTACCAAGTTCCAAGCAAAAAGGCAAACGGAATCAGTGTGTCAGGCTGAAGTGCTTAGCAGAAAGCCAAGGCCATCCAAAGCCAAAGCCTTTTCCAGAGAGCGGGAGTCTATGAGTCTATAGACAGTCTATGTGAACTCGTCAAAGGGATCAGTTGTGACGGCTGTGGGCCGTCACAACGGCTGCCCTTTGCCTCGAAATCGCCTCGCCCTTGTTGGGGGCTTGGACGGCTACATTGCTACATGATTGCTGTGCGTCCAGGAATCTGGACATCAAAGACGCGTATGGACATGACAGCGGCTTTGCCACCACAGTGTCCGTCATCTCACTTTCTGCTGCAGGTGCACATTCGCAAGCGGCAAGCGGATCTCACCTGTGGCAAACACTTAAATGCCTGTGCATGTACTTGAGCTTGCTGTTTGCAGCTGTGTGCCGACAGGGTACACATAGCAGTTCCAGTCCACACCAAACCTACCCTCGATGATGTCCAACAGGAAGTCGTCCTAGCGTGGTGCGCCATCATCCAGCATGCAGACACCGGGAACGGCGACAGTCGAATCGAGGTTCAATGCTTCGTCCTGACCACGCACTTTTGTCGGTTGTCGGCAAGAAAGTGAACACAGTGAACCATCAGCCACGCCCCCCCCCTTTACGGCACCCTGCCAACCTTTCCACACCCAGCACCGTTCTCTGTAACAACTTCACCCACCCCACCCTGCCCCCCTCAAGATTCGCACGCCCCTACCTTAACTGAAATGAAAAAGCGCAAAGTTCTGAGCGCACGGCCTGGAATGTATAGAGCCCTTTTCCCGAATGCGTGGCGGAGGGTTTCCGTTTTTAGAGTTGGGGCGTCAGGGGTCCAGGAGCTTACCCTACATCATGCGAATTGGGTTTTCGTTTGCGTTGGAAAGCGCCCGCAAAGCCATCGAAAGCATTCCGAAGCGCCCGCGGAGCGCATCAGCTGTAGTTGCGGAATGCCAGTTTGGGCGTCGCTTTGTACTTTGTATGTCTAAAACATTCCGACAATCACGAGGATGAGGCCCCTCAGGGACGCCTCTGTTTCGTGGCTCAAAAGTGCTGACAATCACGAGGATGAGGCACGTGGGGGATGCCATCCTCTAACTGTCTTGACTTTTGAGCTGTCGTGGCTTTTGAAGCTTGTTTGCTGTTCCCGTCTCAGTGCTGACAGTTTAGGGTTTAAGGCTCAGGGCCCAGCTTCTGCACGGGCATGCCAACCCACAGCCTGGGGTTTTTTCGGTTTACAGTTGGGTGGGTGTAGTTTGGGGAAGGCTTGCCTTGAGCTGCGTATCAGGAAGGGACTTTGAACGGGTGAGCATCCTGCCTTTGGGGTCCCACCGGCCTGCTTCTGCAGCGGAATCTTTACGGCTGCCAAAAGCTCCCGGACGTACTTGAGAACTGGATCGTCCTGGCCACATGACCAGAAGCAGCGCTTGCATGGACTAGAACGGGTAGAGGGTGAATGATGGTGAACCAGCCCATTCCAGCCCTGAGCCGGATCTCCTGCTTGTCGCGAACGATGCGCTGAAGCTTCAGCCTTGCCGGAAAGAAATCCCCCAAAATCCCCCCCAATTTTCTTCTGGCTTTTGAGCATGAGCATCATGAGCTGTTGAGCCAGGCTCGGCCAAGGTGCATATTCTCATCTAGGCTTTCTGGGCCGAACTTCTGGGCCACCAGGCCTAAGACTGCGCGACGACGTTTTTGCAGGGGTCGACATCCGTGAAAGGATAGAAAGCAATGCCCGATAAGAATAGCCCGCGGCATCTCAACAACTAAACATGGGGAATTCGCGCAGCGCAAGGCTGCCCATGCAAAAGTGCGAAGCAGTGCACCGCCGAGACCCCAAAAAGTCGAAGCAGAACCACCACATGTTTTGCAAGTTACATTGGCCCAGAAGTACGGCCAAAAACGCCCCCACGGACCGTAAGCTCGTGCGGAGCCGAGCGCAACAGACACGGGCCTTACCGCCAGCCAACCGCGCAACCCAAAGTACTCACAAAAGGCGGACACTGTGCTCAGTTTGACACCTGGAGGGGGGTTTGGGAGTCCATTGTATCTGCGGACTGCAGCCCAGGTTCTTTCGAGGTTCCGCCTGACCTCGGCACATCCCAGCGCGTTGCTTCTCACAGGCGCAGCTTCCACGTTGCATCGCACCCCCGTGAGTGAAGGCTTGCAGCTTGGAGACGCGGGTTAGCATGTGGTCTGAAAACTCCGAAGGCACTCCTTGGGCAACTCCAAGGACAAAGCCGTGCAAACCAAAACTCTCACGTGGCTGCATGATGATTCTTTCGTCTGCCCGAGCTTCCATTGGACAAGTCAACCGCCGGCGTGGTGCTCCAAAACGACACCGAGATGGCCATGTTGTCCTTGCTATGCTGTTGCTATGGAAGAAGGGAAATCATGGCAAGCACCAAGTGCTCTGATCCATGAGGTTGCACAGGCATGCGCAGGCTGCATTTGGCTACATGAAGTGCAACATGTCCGCCCAGCGTCTAGGTTGCGAAGCCAATGCCACCAACCGTAAGGCCTCAAAGAATTCAAGCCATCAACTGCCAGGCAAGTAGTCATCCGAGCTGCATGCAGCCTAGGCACAGGTAGAGCAGGTCCCCTGCCTGAGTGTGGCAGCAGCTCTAGCACTCCGCCCCCGAGAAGGAACTCGACATGGCCTTGACTGATATGGCTCAGGCGATGACCTGAAGTGTGGCATAATGCCCGCTGGCATCTTTGAACTTCGGGAAGGCCTTCAAATCTGCCTCTCTGGGACTCCCCACCATGGACCTTGCGGATACCAGCTCCGTTGCATGCTGCTGCTTTTCTACTTTCTTGCAATGACGACTCATTGTTATAGTGTTCGCTGCAGCATCCCGAAGCTCCGGCAGCCATCAGCACAAGATTGGCCACGCCACTGGCGATCACAGGGATGAGTCGTCGGGAACGGGTACAGCTTCCCATAGTCTACAAAGGGGAACACCACGATCTCCTTCAGCCCTCTGACCTGCCGTGGATGTCAAAGTTCGAGGCCGAGGAAGCTCAGTTCAGGATACAATGCGTTGCATGTAGCTGAGACACTGAGAGCCTGAGAGCTTTTGATTTCCAGGCATTCACCAGACGCAACTCTCTGTCACTTAGGAACTGAGAAGCTGAGCTCTGGATTCTAGATGTCGATGTCTTCATTCCACGGACCGTCTTTAGCTTTAGCGTTTCCCTGGCCCCGAGATGCAACCCCCAGACCCGAATACAACAATAACACAGTGCCCAAATGCTTGCTCCACTTGATTTTCACTTCCCATCCCCCCCCCCCCCCCGCCCCCACGTTTGGAGCACCTGAAAGAAAAGGTTTTCCCGCTCATCAAAGTGCAGCGGGGTCTCGGCACCCTGCATTCCAACGAACAGCTCCTCAGATGTCGACATGCACTCGATCCTACAAGACAGTCTCTCAGCTGAGCAACCTGCGCACAACACGTACGCACCAAGAGACGCCATGGATAACATCTTCAAGTCCAAGGATGCTGAAGCTGAAAGTATGTTTTAAAGGCAAAGACAGGTCAAGCTATCTGACCGACTGGGCCGCATTTACTTCAGCAAAGAATCGTTGGAATCCGGCAAGCCCCAACCACAAGCATGGCTGATTCGAATCGGCAGCTCCCATTTCCAAGACGCAAATTCCTGACCAAACAATGCCATTCAACTGATTCAGATCTGCTTGCTTGATGAGGCAACACTGCTTAGAACTTCACCATGGACATAGTCGATGAGCAACTGGCTGCAAGAGTTATGAAAAGGAATTCTTGGCCAACCTTCAGGAAGTGTCTGGGGTTGGACTGTGGAGCAAGAGACTCTAGCATTAAGACGGAAGTGATTGAGCGCTTGCTACGCAAGATCTCCTGGGCCATCTCAGAATGACCGGACAGCGTCTCTTGCAGGTACATCCGCTCATCGGATCCTCGCATGTTAAACGACTGGATAAGCCCACATGTGCATGCGCGTGTCGGTCGAGGTGTTGCTTCGGACTCCCGGACAGGACAATCAGACCACCAAAAGCACCACGAACAAAATGTTGTTTGTGGACATCGATGTGGACAATCAGCTCACCAAAATCACCACTAACAAAATGCTAGATTTTGTCATGGCTGTGCTTGGACCCATTTAAACTCTTTCCATGAGTCTCAAGCATTGTTGTCTATACACACTGTCGGGTTATTTTAAGGTCTTCGTAGAGGCAAACAAATCCAAACCAACTCTTGCACGACCCGTTAATCACTCGTTGTGCAAAACTAAGCTAGGATTCCGCTATGTTCTCAATGCTGGGGTAGGTGTAAAGCACTGTTTTGTCCAACCTTTTGTTCAGCAAGCATGATTGACAGAATCTACCCGATCTACGCGGAACCTTTTCTTTAAACATGTGGCTAGTAGATCCAGACAAATTTGTCCAACAGGTTTCAGAAACACGGTGCATAAAATGTGTAGGGATCTGCGTGGCTCTCTTTCAGAAAGGGAAAAACATATCAGCACAGAGTCTCAAACAAGCAAAACACATGGATTCATAATTTCCTGTTGTAAACAGGGTGTCGTTCCCAATTTGTAGCCAGGTGCGCCCTACAGCGTTGCATTAACATCCAAAACAAGACGATGCAGTCGGGCTACGCCACTTGCCTTCATGAACATGCCAAGTTGCGGGGCGCAGCAAACAGAGCAGGCGCGTCAAGACGTTAAAACTAAATGTTTAGGATGATGTACATGTTGTTCTTGCGATCCGTCTTTTTTGAAGATAGCTTGACCTACAAACCTTACAGGCCAGGGCTTGTGAGCCATCACGCTAGAAGTGATAACTCCATAACAGGATGACAGGGTGTAGATTCATCTTTCTGGAAGATAGCTTGACCACAAACCTTAGGGACAAGGGCTTCCGAAAAGTCACTCGGCTAGTGAACGGTAAGAAATCGAGAAGCTCTCCCATCCCCCATTAAAGAACTGCATGTAAAGCAGCTGCAAGCAATATCGATTTAATATTGAGATCGGCATACTTCCTGGCAAATACTTCACCATGCTTATGCCAACTCTTGATTAATTTCTAGGTTTAGCTAGTCCTTAACTGTTACGCGAATTAAAGGAATCCATGACAAATTCATGTTTAGTTCTCAAAAATAGTTTCGCACCTGGTGTATTAGGATTAAGTGAAAATTAAGGGAATATGTACATTAAATTCTTTTGTATTATAGTATTAAATATACTATATTAAAATATGTACTAGATACAGAATAGTTATTGCACATGCAGTATGTACATATATATATATATATACTGTACATATATATGTGTATATATATATATATGTATATATATATATGTATTTGTACTATGTATAGTACATATGCATATATACTTTACAAAGACACCTTTTTATATACATGTATATTATATGCACTACACACTCGCCCACACACACATACATACATATATATATATATATACATATATACATATATACATATATGCTCCTCCCCTAAAACCTACCGTTTTCTAGTTTTCAATACCTCCATACCCGTTTAATCCAGGACCACTGAGGCTCCGGCCTGAGGTGCGAAAAGACAGCACTGCATGCCCTAAACCCTTAGCCATAAAGCCTAAACTCTACATCCTAAACCCCAAACCGCAGCACCTACAGCCTTGACTGTCAAGGCGGTTGAATTCGATTCTCAGCACTTCGACCGGTTCCCTTCATTTTATCCCTAAATCCTGTTCCCTAAGCCCTAAAGAGGCCCTTAAGTTACTTCCATCCTTAAAATACTTCCCTAAGTCTTATTCCCTAAGCCCTGAAGGGGGGGCTCCTTCAATCCTAAAGAGGAGAGCCCCTGAATCCTAAAGAAAAATGAGCCCCATGTATTCCCTAAATCTTATCTCTAAATCCTAAAGAGCGGGACGGGACGCCGAATTCTTCCACGAGTTTGACTGCGGGGGTCTAAATCCTAAAGAGGAGAGCCCTAGAGCCTTAAAAATGAGCCCATTCCCTAAGTCTTATCGCTGGAAGCAGGATCCTTAAATCTAGTCCTAAAGAGGGGATCCTTAAATCCCAATAAAAGCGAACCTTACTCACCAAATCTTTTCGCCAAATCCTAAAGAGCGGGATCCCTAAATCTTATCCCTCCTTAAATCCTATTCCCCAAGCCCTAAGGAGAGGTGATGATCCTAAAGAGGAGAGCCCCTAAACCTTAAAACTAAAAAAACAGTACCTAAATCCTTCTTCGCTAAAACCTAAAGAGCGGGATCCCTACATCTTGTCCCTTACTCACAAAACCCTATTGCATAAACCATGAGGCGGGTGGTCCTTCATTCCTCAAGAGGAGAGCCCCTATGTCCACAAAAATGAACCCCAATCCCAAAAGCATTTTCGCTACATCATAAAGAGCGGGATCCCTAAATCGTGTTCCCGATTCTTCTTCTCTCAATCCTGTTCCCTACATCGGTACAATTGAATTCTTGATATTGATTTTTAAAAATCCGAGTGGTTGAGGATCACATTCTGTGTATTGGCTTTATATGTATGAGTTGGTACGTAATCTGTGTACTCAATCTCCAACACAACACATTTGCTTATAAGGACTTAGTTTGCTTCTCAATAAAAGGGGAGAGGGTGCCAGGGGTCATTCTTCCAAAATAGGCAGGACCAAAAAACACTCCCCACCACTCCCCCCCTCTTCCCTCCTCTTCGCTCCGCTGCGCGTTCTGGGTTTGTTTCAGGGTGTGTCAAGGCTTATTCTCCGAAACCCTATCGGTCCAGGGTTTAGGGTTTATCGAGAAGCCCCGAAACCCGAAGCCTATACGTTTAAGCAATTAAACCTAAACCCTTAACCTTTAAACACCCTATAGGGTTAAGGTTTAAAGGCTTAGGGTTTAAGTTTCAGACATTTCAATCTTGACCTGCAATTAAACGGAAATGCGAAACCTTTAACCCTTGCAGGGTTAAGGTTTGCAGGTTTAGGGTTTAAGATATACTCACTCTAAAACCCTATCGGTTCAGGGTTTAGGGTTTTAAAGAAAACCCAAAAACCCTATAGGATTAAGGAAGTAAGCCTCATTCTTTAACCTTTAAAGCCTTTAAACCCTGCAGGGTTAAGTTTTAAAGGTTTAGGGGTTAAGATATAGGCATTTAAACCTTGACCTGCAAATACACCGAAACTCCAAACCTTTAAACTTTATGGGGTTAATTCAAGGTCTAGGGTTTAAGATGTAGGTATTTAAACCTTGACGTGCAATTAAACCGAAACCTGCAACCTGTAAACTTTATAGCGCTAAGGTTTAAAGGTTTAGGGTTTAAGATATGCCTGCAACTAAACCGAAACACGTAACCTTTAAACCCTATAGGGTTAAGGTTTGAAGGTCCAGGGTTTAGTAGAAGCCCCGAAACCCTATAGGGTTGCAATTAACCTGAACGCGCACGCAACCTTCGACTTTGAAGTCTTGGCTCGCCATGCCTTCAGGCTATAGGAAGCACCCAACTATATTCAGCCACACAGGAGCTGCGAGACGTGATAAGATTAAAAATTTCAATGTCAGGAAACCAGCCGATTCAAATTGAATCGGCCGATTCAATTTGAATCGGCCCCCCAAACTGAAGATTGAAGATTGAAGATTCCCATTCAATATTCAAAGCTGAGGCCGATTCAAATTGAATCGGGCCGATTCAATTTCAATCGGGCCCCCAAATGAAGATTGAAGATTGATGATTCCCAGGAACTCTTTCTGGGAATCTTCAATCTGAACAGGCCGGGCCTATTCAAATTGAATCGGCCGATTCAATTTGAATCGGGCCCGAAACCGAAGATTTCCCAGAAAGAGTTCCTGGGAATCTTCAATCTTCAATCTTCGGCTTGGGGCCCGATTGAAATTGAATCGGCCGATTCAATTTTGAATCGGCTGTATCTGCGAAACGTACCACGTGCCACGCATCACTATTATAGTATTACAAAAAGTAATAAACAGTAATAAAAAGGTAGGTTTTGGGGGGGTACCATATATGGTCCAGGGCTGCCACGCCCACCTCCCCCCCCCCCCCCCCCCACCCTCCCTTGTATCCCTACCCCCACCCAATTTCTCCCTTTGCGGTGTGGGTGTTGTTGGGGGGTTAGGGTTTAAGGTTTAAGGGTTAGGGCCCACCCCCGCGCCCCCCCCTGTGGTGTGGGTGTTGTTGTGGGGGTTCGGGTTTTGGGTTTAAGGTCCGCGCCCCCCCCCCCAGGGTAAGGGTATAAGGTTTAGGTGGAGGGGGAGGGGGGCATACCTTTGGGGGGGGGGGGGGGGGGTAGGGACCATATACATATATACATATATATATATATTATACATCGTATACAATAGAGACTACAGATACTATATATACACTATTTATAATACAATGGGACCGTGGACCAGCCAGCAAACCGGAGGACCAGCAGACAACGGAACCAGCAGAGCAGGGGACCACCAGACCACAAAACAAACGTACACACAAACAACTGCCGAAAACAAATCGAACAAATATGCCCTCCTTTGTTTGGTCTGCCCCGGTTTCGCCACCTTCGTTGAGGATCTTCCCAGCCCGCTCAAGGAAAGTGGTGAAAGTTTCCTGACCCAGGAACATGCGCTGACTTCGCATGCTTGTGATTGTGCACTGTGTTGCATCTGACCTCCTGGATTCTGGGTACTACACAAAACCCTTCACTGTGTCGCCTGAAGGTCCCGCACCGGCTGCCTGAGAGCTGCGTACGCAGGTCTTGCTCCCAGTACTTTCACGTATCATCGCACGTGTTGCAAAAAGCACCGCTACAGCCGCTTGGGTGCCGAAATTCAAACTTGCCGGTGTTCTTCTTCAGGTCGAAATATCCTTTTGAACTAGAAAGGTCTCGCTTGCAGGTGCGACTGGGATCCCAATGGGCCACAGGGCAGCCATTGAAGCCGAGATGCGAAACTTGGAGTTGGGAGACTTCTTGACCAGGACCTACCATGAGTTGAGCCCTGAGGGACCTCGAAAAAGAAACTACACTGTGTCGCATTGTGCCACGATCAGTGCCTGCCGATCGTTCCATATCTTCTGGACATAGGATACATCATCCCATTTCTCGACCTGCCACGCATGGATTCTCTGGTGGTCGGCCAATCCACGTGCAGCTTTCTACTGCGCCCAACAAACCCTCAAGAATCACTGACAAGGTTCATGTCCTTGTGGGGCCTCGATGATGCCAGATCCTTCTATGATGAGGGGGAGGCCGGCGGCAGACTGTGGCTTCATAAGGTCGAGCACCTAACGGAGCCACTTCACCGATCAAGGCCATGTTTTACTGGACGACTTACAGGTGTGGCGGTGCGGTCATCGCCTCGTCCACGTTGGTAAACTTGACTCTCCTGTTCGCATTTGCATGCATGGTGAGTTGCGGGCTCTCGACATGCAACAAATGCAGAGATGGAAAAACAAAAATGCGCTCAGTTGACATATTTGGACGCGTATTACAATCCTGATCGGCGTGTAATGGGACGGCCATGTGCTGGAAGGCAGCGCAGGAACAGCTTGTGCGGGCTGCGCTGCTCGTGCCAGATCTGGGGCTACAGTTCCTGCCTGGGTTCGCCACCGCAACGCTGCGCAGCACGTGATGCTGCAACGCACAGGACAGCAACACGAAGCCCAAGTTGCAACCGCGGCTGCGCTGTAGCCGCCACTCAGCAATTGGCTAATGATGTCACTGTTGGCCTCAGGATTCTTAGGCAAGATTGATAACTGATGGTTCCAGTTTCTGGGCCGGTTTGACTAGCCGACGCGGGTGTGTGTTTGGGAACTGCTTCGTTCTGTCTTCCTCGTGTGGTGTTTTGTGTTTGAGGGCTGGGTTGAGTTCTTTAGCAATTGGGGTAAATAAATACATAAATATAAATATAAATATAAATATAAATAAATAAATATATATATATATATATATATATATATATATATATATATATCAAAAGACATTCTATACACTTCTCTAGTGTACGCAAGCTGCCCGCATCGCAAATCAAGTAGTTCCATATGCAAAAGATATAGGATGTTGAAGGAACCTAGCCCACCAACGGCACAAAAGCACCGAGGAGGAAGCAAGGACTTAACAAAAGTGATCAAAAGAAGGAAACAAGGAAAATCTGGAGAGTCTAAGAGGACGGCACGTGAGAGAAGAAAACAACACAAGAGCCCAAAGCGAACACTGCGGACACTTGCCCACTTACTCCCAGCGCTGCGCGCTTCGAATTGTGTTTCCACATCGACTTGGCCTCGCAGTTCGCCTTGGCGACACCGAGTGCCTCATTGCCAGGAACCCTCTGCAACAGGCTGCAGAGACGACGCTGCGCACGGGCTTAACGCAAAACAATGCTGCACACCCTCTCCAATGGCGAGGTGCCATATCCAGCTCGCACTGCACGCAGGGCCAACGATGGCCAACGTTGATTTTATCAAATCTCTGCTGTGGTTCGATTGGATCGTCAATGTGCCCGTGATGGTTGCCCGAGTGTGCATGCAGTAGTCAGTAGTGCTGCACAAAGCGGGACGTCTGTAGCCAGGGCGTAGCAAATGATGGCATGCGATCATCTCTTGCAAGTTGCATTCAGCACGTGCCCTCTTACCTGTAGCACATGCATCTGCTCTGAACAAAAAACTTGCAAGGTCAGGGCTGCAAACAAGAACATCAGGAGCTACCTGATTTGGCGAAATTGGCGCTTGTCCAGCTTGGCAAAACAACGCGGACCCAGGCTTGTTTCCATACGCCGTGGCCTTTAGCTCCATCCTTTCCTGGTGCCTTCTCTTTGGGCACTGGCCAATGGCCCTGTACAGGTCAGACAGTGAAAGCGTTCTCTGCCTGAGCATCCACAATTCTAGCAGCAGGGAATCCTTCTGCAGTGGGTAGTCCAGCGTCCATTTCAGAAATTTTGCGAGAACAAATCTGCGGGATGTTGCAGACCTCGAGTTGCGTTGCAGGTCGCGGCAAAAAAACAAACTGTGATAGCAGTGAGCAACACATCAATCACAGTCAGCACTTTCATAAGTCTCAAGCATCATTGCCTTCTGGCCTTGCCCGGCGCATCGGGGCGGATGCCTCTGAATCGATTTCGGTGCCATCACCTCCTTGTTCTGGCAACTTGAAGCAGACTCGAGCATGCTGTTCGACAAATGTGCACTAGTGTTGCAAATCATTGCTTAAAATCATTTTGCAAGTCAGGTGCTTCTTCTTTCCCTTGCCCCCGCTCCGACCACCTGCTGGTGCGGATGCCTTGCCTGTACTCGCCATACGTTGTGCTTCGTGGTAGGCTTCGTGCTCCGTGCTTATATGGAACTCAATAGAGTGCTGTGCAAGGTCTGCCTGTGATTGCCACATACCCAATGCCGCCCAAGACGGCCAAAATGATCACAGCGGCGATTGTGCTGTACCAAGATCCTGACGCCTTGACTTTTCAGTGGGCACCACCGCAGGACAAAATTTCACTACAAGGCCTTCGGCTTTTTGCTCGGGCCCCTGGTTGGAGGCGCGGGGCCTGCGCGCAGAGTTGTGCAACCCACGAGCTTTACACCCAAAATCCTCATGCCATTTCAAGCCTGATTCTGCGTCATCTTCTCCTGCCTCCACGGATGTCCATACACGCCACGGCGCATCAAAACATGTGGGCACCCAATGCCTCCATGCGTTTCTTCCGCTCCCATGCAGCCTTGAAACTGCAAGTGTGGGGACTGTGGGGAGCTAAACAGCTACCAACAGGAAAACACTGCATTGCCAAGCCGTTCTAGCAAAACCTTTTCGAGTGCCTTCATGAGCCTCTCCCTTTTCTTTTGCTCGGCCTGTTGTCTTTTTTCCTCTTCCTGCTGGGTCTTCCTCGGGTGTCGGATTTGATGGGTAAGGCAGGGCAGACTGCATGGAAGTGGCAGTGCACTGACACAACGCCTGAGCCCCGCACATTTCCTCAAACGCCTGGTTTAGCGTCTCTGTGCAAGTTCATGCCACCCAGCTATGGAAAAGGCTGATAAAGCTTATTTAAAGCATCTTTTGTGCAAAGGGCAGTGGCCCGCTCATGAATCAAATGCCCACGAAACTACTAAGTAGTGGGATGATGTCCAAGCGCTAATCGCTTGGATGTCAGTTGAATGTTGTGCTTTCACAACGTTGCAGTTACGCCAGCCTGGACCCCAAGCATTTCTGCCTACATCCTCTGGATGGAGAAAAAAGCAAAAATGCGACGTTTTAACCACGTGAATCTGCTATCGCGGCATGCGAAAGATCTCAATCTGCAACGATCCCTTCTCGTGACCTGGTGTTGAATCCCTGGGCCAAATGCACTTGGAGCCTTTTTTCCTTTATATGTAGAACCGGCAAAAACCCTGAAAGAAAGCCGAATTACTTCGTAACCACACGCAAATGTAATATTGGCCCGTGCCGCAATGCATTCAGAATCTTGTCCCGGCACTTTGAAGGCCAAAACCTTGCCAAGGATTCCATCGATTTATGTGATGCTTGGTGGAACATTAATGTCCAGTGTGCCACTGGACAAACTTACGCACCGAAAACTCTTGAGAAAAAGAGCCATCAACAAATCCCAAGATTCGAGGTTTCCCCCTACAAAAGAAACTTGGTGTATTGCGCTTTTTCCGTGCCACGTGCAATGTTGCGCACGACCATCAAGTATCCGCACTATGGAAATGTAAATCTCTATGTCTCGCCCCTAGATATGCTTTTGACAGGCCTAATTTCTTCAAGAAATGTGCTTGTTGCATGCATTTCCCTATAGAGCACTCTATGGAATCGCTTGGTTTTCTGTGGCTTGACGGGACCGCTGTAAATTCAAGTGAGCCTGTTTTGCCAAAGCAAAAGTCTGTATTAGTAGGGCTTGTCTCCTATGAAGATGCACAGAAAAGGTAGTGCTTAGGAAGAAAGGAAGGACTTCCCTCAAACCATAAGACTACAAAGTATTCGAGGCACGAACGGGAATACTGTGAGCAGACATCTATTTTGGGACTTCCAAAACAATGCCAACATATGCCAATGGTACTTGATCACGGATATCTTGGTGTGCATTCCCAATGCTTCCACAAGGTTTTGCATCATCATCTCGTAATAGCCTGATAATTTGGGGAAGGGCGGGGTGGAGGGGGGTGGAGGGGGTGGAGGGGGGGTGGAGGGGGGTGGGAGGGGGGGGGTGGGGGGGGGGTGGAGGGGGGGGTGGAGGGGGGGTGGGGGGGTGGAGGGGGGAGGGGGTGGACGGGGGTGGAGGGGGGTGGAGGGGTGGAGGGGGGTGGGGGGTGGAGGGGGTGGAGGGGGGAGGAGGGGTGGGGGGGGGGGGGGGGGGTGGAGGGGGGTGGGAGGGGGGGGTGGGGGGGTGGAGGGGGGGGTGGAGGGGGTGGAGGGGGTGGAGGGGGGTGGAGGGGGGTGGAGGGGGGTGGAGGGGGGAATACGGGGAATTCCCAATTTCCTGAGAAGAAGATGAGTGTCTCGACAATTGCGGTGACACTCTGTCGTGGGCTGGCTATGCGTAAGCAGAAACCTACAGAAAGACTAAGCAACAACCAAAAAGCCATCCAACCGTCTGTTTTTTGTCTGCCGACAAACAAGAACTGGAACATAACAGACATGCCAAAACACGGCCCCCACAGCGTACCTTTTAGTTTTGCCTCAAGCAGATGCTGCAGAGTGTCCATTTCGGAACCTTTCTCAAAGTCAACCATATAAACGCATGGCAACGAGATGAGTGTGTGTGTGTGTGTGTGTGTGTGTGACAAGTCCGTCAGTCAGAAGTTACTCAGCCTGGATTGCGTGTGGGGACTAGACTAGACCTCACCTTTGTGAAATGGCTGCATAAACAGGAGCTCTGCAGCCCCTTGAGAAGATGCCAAGTAGACATCAGCTATGTTTCGGAGAGCTACCAAAGAAAATTGATCTACGCTGATGTCGTAGAGCGACCAATCCATTAATTTTGTGTCCGCAAGATAGGCGCCGAGAAAAGAAGAGGCTAGGCCGCACACAATACGCCGCAGCAGGCGCCGTATCGTTTAGAGCAATATCAAACAAAGAATGCCTCACCGAGCCAGCATCTATGTGCTACTTGCTGCAAGGCCTGAGGATTTTCTTCCTTGAATTTCTCCAGCTCTCTCCGTTCTGCTTCCTGACGGCAGCGATTTGCAGATTCATGCTGCCTAGGGCTCGATGTTGACCAAAGCAAAGAAGTGGGGCTCGTCCTTCTTGGCATCAACCTCCTGACAGCGACTATACGTCTGCAATCATGTGCAGGAACGCTGGGCGATATCAAGATATCAAGGTGGCCGTCCTTCATCTTCATCCTTTCTATAGCTGCATCACGTTCCTTCTTACGCTTCTCTCGCCACTCCTCTTTTTCTTGGCGATCCTGGGAAACAGAAACGGGACTGAACTTCTTTTGCACAAACAGCAGACTTATGCAGAATTCACCCCCCCCCTCCCTCACTCCGCAAGGTATTGATTCGTGGTGGGTTTGGGGTTTTGGGTTCCCCCTCCGTGGTGGGGGTTAGGCTTTGTGGTATCCCTCCCCTGGTCCCATGTGGAGTTTTTCGACGTGGCGACCATAGTGGGTTGGCGGGTTAGGGTTTCCCACCCCTCCGCCCTGTGGTTCATCGTCTGCGCGAGGCTTAGAACCATAAACTACCCCGATTTGAACGTGGTCATCCAGGCGACACGCAACCTTTTCATGTTTCTGGCCGAAGTTCTCCAGTCCGTGCAGAGAAGCGTGTGTATGGCATAGGCTACGGTTAGCACTACAACAGCAGCGTTGCCTACGTAGGTAACTCGTATTGTTTCTTGAGCGGCACTGCCAGCTCCTTGTGAATCATACCTCAATACTACTAAGCACAAAAGTGCTATGGCTCGAATATTGCGCCCTCATTTGAGGGTTCAATGTTTAGGGTCAGGGTTTAGGCTTTCCCATCTGCCTTCCATGGTTCGTGCTGCGTTTAGGCTTAAGGGCAGTAGACATGTCGGAGTTTGGCCTTCTCTGACATGCCCAACTCGTCGGTTACTGCTTCGGCTGCATCCTGAGACAACACTGCTGCAATCTGCCACATCGCCCAGAGTATATCGAAGCGGAACTCCGACAACCCGTCCTCGTCTTCAGGGAATGCCCACCGCATGACCTCGCGCCCGACTCTCCCCCTCACTTAAGCCCGGCACGACCCGGAGTTCAAGCCAGGAACAAATTGAGACATTGGCCGACTGACATTTCTCAGAGATGTCCTGGCCAAGTTTATACCGCACTCTGAGCCACACTCTCAGCCTGACCTTTCATAACTCTGCATCAAGCATACGAGTGCCTCGTCCGAAGCACGGTATCTCATCAAGCAGGGTGTAGTTTCCTCTGCGAAAAACTCCTGGCATTTTGGTGTCACTGGACACATATTGCACTTGCATCTTTACGACACTTTCCTCGGGCCTACACATGGCATGGGCATGCAGTGGAAGTACAAAGTCTTCATTCACGTTCGAACGCCCCTCCTCGTCGCAAAGTTGTTCTATCTCATCTGCGCAGGCAGAGTTCAGTGCCATAAAATCTGTGCCTGCAGCACGTACTGATTGGCACACAGGGGCGATCTCAAAATTCGTCACATGACTTGATAAGATGCAAACACTCGGAAGAGATCTCCGTTGGTGTCTCGTGCTGGCTTGAGTCCTCACAGCTTTCTGGCGTGCACAGCGAGCTACACAAAAGGCAAGCAGAGACCAGTCCTTGAGACAAGCCACCAAGTCTGATTTCGGACCTCATTTTGTTGTTGCTCGATTTTGGCTATCCAACGCCATGTCAGTCCAAGGCCATTGCTGTCGGGACAAGCTGATGCAATCTCCGCCTGGCCAGGAGGTCGTGCGAAGGCAATTGACACTTTCGTTGCGCTAACGTGCCCAGCCTCGCACGGATAAGTCAGAACGCCCCGTAAACACAGGTGCGCGAGTAACAGCAGCCACCGCAGCCATCGCATGTGCCAGTCGGCACCCATAGACCTGAATGCCAGGCATTGACTCATTGGCAGGTCAACTGGCCTCAACTTTCATCCAACCGATGCTACAGTAGATTTTCAGCCTGTTGTCAGCTGAGGCAGTTGCGGCCCTTGCACACTGGCTACTGGTCAACCCTGTGCTAAGTTGTATAGATCGCCTTAAACCACTGGGATGTCGCAGCAGGCAACTCATCTCAACATCCTACCAGCCGGTGGGACCAAATTAAAATTGCCAGGCCATCTACAACCTTCAACTGCATGGAAACGAAACCAAGCAGAAACGCGCTGGCCACCTCAAGAAAATTGACCATTGAAACACCAAACAGACTCAACAGCATAGCTTGCATTCGGTCAGTGCCAGAGCTGTGCGTTTCTTCTGGCTTGCAAAGGGCGAACAGTGAACACAATGGGTTGACATGGGCTCACTTCACCCTGCAATTTGCCGTGTTGCCGTCGTCCCCACTCGACATCTCGAAACCGGATGCTCTCTAGATCTTTGATGGAAACAGCCGGCATGCCCTCCGAAGGTCAGACTATGTCAACTGACTTAAAGGGGGGAAACGATGAGGGGGTTACTGGCTGAGCTTTCGACAACTTGGCAAAATTCTAGACGAAGGTCTCCGAGCCTTGCTCGGGGAGTATGTGAACTGGTAGGAACCAAAGCAGTGTACGACTTTCTTGACCTCAACCTTGCGGCCGCCGATAAGCCGATACAAACACAAGGCGACACAAGGATTAGGCATGTTCCTAGCAATCAAGCCCGGGTGATGGCCGGGCCCGTGGACCTGGCCCTGTTTAGCAGGTCACAGGCTGCGCCCCCCTGCTTTATCTGCGTATTGGCTTACATCGGTTTATTTCGGTCTCATCGGCTTATGTAGGCTTGTATCGGCTTATGTTGCCTCGAGGAACGACTCTGTGGGGCAAAGGTCCACGTTAAGGCCCCAGGATTTCTGCTGCGCTATCCTTTACTGCAACTTTGACAAGTCAGTCCCGCTCCGCACCTTGCGCTAAACCACTCTGAAACTGTCGCAAAGCCCACTTTACATGTTACGAGACTACAAGCAACATCAACTTCTGCAAAATTTGCTCAAAAACTTCTCAAGCCCTACTCCGCACCCCCCAACCCCAACTTGAGAAGCATTTCATGGTTTCTAGGGCTAGGGTTTCCAGGCTTTTCCCACCCCCCGCTTAGCTGACACTGAGGACATGTTCATATGGTTTGGAGGCGCAATTGCTGTGATCAGGGCTTCAAAGAAGCTCTGGGAAATAGAGGCTCGAGGGCTTTGGGATTTGCAGGGGTTTTAGCGTTCAGGGTTCGGAGGTCGAGGTTAGGGTTTAGGGTTGAGGTGTTAAAATTCACAGAGTTTCTTCCATCCTGCACAGCTGAGGCGAATCCACATCGCAAGGACGATGACGAAAGCTGACAATTATAAACAAGTCGTAGAGCCCCTTACTTCCCTCGGATACGAAGCTATCCCTGCAATGAAACGGAGGCGTGTACATTGATAGCCCAGGTTTCTTTTTCGTTTTCCTTGCTGCGGCAGCATGATGTCCGGAAGGCCACTGGAGCTTTTCAGCATAGCGCCATCATCTTCGCGGCCTCTCGCAAAATCCATCAGTGCATCAGGGATCACATCCGGACTTTCAGAACATACTCGGAAGACTCCCATGTGTAGCTCACTGATACTGATGAAGGAAGACTCGAATGAACTCAGCGCACCGTGGCCAGGGTAGTCAAAGGTTGCTTCTGGTGCTCCGAAGCTCCACATAGCTCCACAGCAAAACATCGGATTCGGCCTTGGCACCCGGCCGGACGAAGCCGGCATGGGATGCCCGCAAAACTACCGCTGAAGCACTGGGCCAAGGGCATGATGCCGGGTTTCGGGCTGACGATGCAAGAGAACAGGCCAGTGAGGAATGCGTGTTTCCATGCTGTTATTTCCGCTATCCGAGGACGAAGTCTTAGGGCCGGGGCCAGCATGGTTGCAAGTGTCGAATCGAAGCTGCGACCGGAAAGCAAACGACACGAAAGTTGGGTGCGAAAGGCTTGTGGTGCGGGTGTGCACACTCTCTGATGGCAGACTTACCCCATCAGAGAGTGACATGTCTTGCACACCCGCCTCGGCGAGATCAGATTAGAAGGACATTGATTCTCGCTTCGAACCCTTCATGGGCAGACGTGCACTTGTCGGCCGTTGTGTGCTGCGCACTCAGGCTGGGCCAGCGGTGCATTTGAGGAAGGGCAAGCACTGAGGGCCCATCTAGACCAAGGCAAAAAAGATGGGCTCCGCATGGCTCAGCGGCCAAACCAAACACTTGAGACCAGCGATGACAGCCCGGGCACGCAGTAAATGCAGCAAGGTACAAGCTTTACGGCACGGCGCGCGGTGCCATTGCCCTTCCCACCAGCATGCGCAAGCCGCGTCTTCAGCAGAGACCACGGCAAACTCCGGCATATCAGTCTCAACTCTGCAAGGCAGGCGCGACGATGTCGCTGCAATGTCGCATCTCTGTTCTTCGGTGACCACAGCAACTTGCACCACTTTCACAGCTTCAGGCAAGGACATCAACGATCCAGGCATGTGGCATGCTAGTTTACACACACACGCACATCAGAATTCATTCTCCGTCAATGCCACCCTGCGGGCGGATCAGGACGAAAAGGACTTTGAGATGTGCTGTAGTCATCACTTGCGATGAAAGCATGCCAAGACCACACAAGACAAGACCGCGGAGAATGAAAGCCCGCATCAGCCTTGGCATCTTCTTCAATCTCCGCGCGGAGACTTCGGATTAGAAGGACTTTCATTCGCAAAGTCATCACAGCCGAGCCATGCACAGTTCAATGCGCCAACATTGAAGCAAGCCCACGGTTGCCTCACGGTTGCCTACTGCTCTGTAGACGCTGTCAAAGCAAAAGGCCTGAACACCTGCTGCAACGCATTGCTGTGCATCGTCCCTGTCAGGACATTGTAAATGCAAATGCCAGGAAGACAAGTCTTTCGCGGATGTCTCACAGCATATTGTGCTGCGGAGCCAAAGTCTGCAATTCAGGAAAAAGCAGCGAAAGACAGTGTCGCAGTCACCACCAGGGGGGAGGGGGGGAACCATTGGGGTCCTCCTTTCCCACCCCTCGCACACCCATCCCCATCCTTCCTAATCCCGCCAACCCTTCCCAACCTGTGATCCGCGCAGCGTCGCAGCCCATGTTGGATGCGGCTTGGTATGACTTCTCTCTCACACACACAGGCAGACAAAACTGCAGACTGTTGATGTCGATTTGCAAGTCTGTCCTCTTCAACCCCCCCGACATTTATTGTACTTGCAGGAGCGCCCCAAGGCTGTGTGCTCGAGGCATTGAGATCCTGCAATTCCTGCATTGACGCGCCGCCACAAGCAATGAAATGCTCCGTGGAGAAAGTACAGCGTCTCGGACAGGTTTTTGGGGACTATATCTACCCAGTAAGCCCAACTTTTTGCAGCAATAACCCCCGAACAACTCCATAGAACCAGAAGCATCAGGGGCAACACGCTGGACAACAAAAATCTTTGTGACCGCGTCGACTTGCCAGGGAGCTGGCCCGCGGGCTGTGACGAGAAAGTGATTGGACATCTGACAGGCACGTGAGCGGCTTGACCTTGAACCCCTACACCCGGCAACTGCAACCTACTTAATAAGAGCTCAAGGTTGACTCAGGGATGAACTTATATGGATGAACGTATATCAGCTCACCCTCTGCGTTTTAGAAGCTCAAAACCCAACAATCAATTTGGTAGAGCCCAGACGACCGAGTCGATTTTGACAAACCTGTGAGATGTCTTCGCATTGCACAAGCTAGTAACAACTTGCGAACATTTGCAACGGGAGTCGCTTCCTAGGTCTAGCTTCATCAAGCTTCAGTGATTCAGGCCCTCCAACGCAGCCATTGCCTCCCTGTCATGGAGACCCTTTCTTTTTTGAAGCAAAACAGACTTGTGGTAGTCTAAGACATTCCTAGTCCTAATCCTAATCGGCAGAAACCTGTGCTGTTCGCCGGTTCGGAATTCAGGAGGCCGCGCTCTACCAGCTCCAGTCGGTGGGCTTCAGTTAGCGAATGCAAGAACCAACAAGTGTGTGCACAGGATGTGACAGGAACTATGGTAGAAAGCACCGACCTCCCTTAAGCCGTGCTGTTCAATGCCAGTGACCAGATCCAAAGAGACTGCAAGCAAGCTCATACACTTACACGTTGTCTTTCGAATCCTTGGTATGGAGCCGACAGCACTCCAGACAAGGTTGGCCAAGTCGGATCTGAAATCACTTTCTGGCGGGCAGCTCGTACTCGCGATATGGGGTCAATAGGTGACATGCTGTGTCCACGATTACGGCGAGGCCAGGCGCAAAGCTGCGCTGGAGAAGCCCTATAAGACGGGTCAGAGCTGCCTAAAGGGTGACACCTGGTAACACCTCGTTTGCGGCACTGAAGCTTCGCTTCTGGCTACTAGCGCTGCTGCTTCACCGAGGCCATTAAGGCCTCCTGCAAGGTGGCCTTGGAATGGCGATTCAGTGGCGGCCAACTTAAAAGAGTCTGGTCACATCTGCCTTGGCAACCTCCGAGGTCATGGTCTTTGATGAGCCGCCGCTTTCCAGCGCCTTCTGGCCCTCCTCGAAAACTCGACGATTGAAACAAAAAAAACGGCGAACGACAAAAGAGTGTTCAAGGCCCCCCATTAACTCAGAAGGGCCCGCGGCAGCTCCTCCTCGAAAATTGCACCCAATCGCTGCAGCGCTTGAGAGCGCCGAACTCGTATCTGCCAAGGAACGGACTTGTCCTGCCAAGTCCGGCAATTCTAGTGGGCTTCTAGCTTCTGGGTGCTTCTGTTGGCATATAACTCGGACCGACTCGGGCTCCTTCAGCAGTTTTCGGCCAATCTCTTTCACAGTGGAGTCGATGTCGGTGACGACAGCTGCCTGGCGGGTTGCTCTTCCTTGCCTTTCCCACCAGCCTGTTTGTTGTGAGGCACTTATGTGCAACTGCAACTGCAAATTGCAAGAATGCAAATTGCAAATTTCAAATTGCAAATGCAGTTGTACATTGCAGTTGCATTTGCATCTCAATTGCCAGTTGCCTGGGGATTGAGATTGTGTCTAGAGTCTAGCTAGCGGAAATCGCTGGAGTGCAGCTTGGCGGCCCAGGCAGTTTGAAGAAAGAGAGGCAGGGCTTCATCCAAGGCCTTCTCCACCTCAGCTAATGGAAGCTTTGCACTGGCGTGACGCTTCTCATACGTCTTTTAGCATCTCTTGCTTCTGCAGCTCCCGAGCTCCCAGCAGCTGCTGCTGCCTGTGCCACCTCCTCCGGGGTCGGTTCAGGTGGGGTGGCACCAGAAGCGCCCGCATCAGGCTCGCTTGCACCAGCACTGGATGGAGCAGCGCTCGGTGTGCTCACGGCGCTGGCCTCTGGCAACCGGCGCATGCTCTGGAATCCTCTGGAAATTGCCAGCATCACGCTCCACGCGTAAGCCAGAAGCCTTGGAAGCATCGTGCACGCGCTTGACTTGGAGGAGGCTTGTCGCGGCATTCCTCGGCAAAACGAGGGAAGCTAACGGCAGCTGAGCAGGACTCCACATCCTGCACTCATCATATCACTGCCTGGGACACCCTAGTGACATCTAGGTCTTAAGAGACTCCTTCTGACTCCTTCATGACTGCCAAGGCGCGAGACAAAGCTCATCTTGTGCCGGAAAGTCGTATCTAAGAAGCAGGGCAGGCATAGAATCAAGCGCCAGGTACCCTCTCCCCAGCAAAAGACAAACAATGCATCCAAGCTGCGCGAATGCTTCAGAGCAGCCTCAGCTTGACGGATCTCGATGCAGACCAACGCTCCGGAAATGCACCTAACCGTGCCTACATGTGCCTGCCATCATCTGCCATCTCTTATCATAAGCCAAGCGTCTGCCTGCTTTGTGATGGAAAACCGACCTACCAGCTCATCTGCCAGATAAATCTCGGAGCGGATCTTGTACATCCTCAGGTGCAGGTAGATGGTGTCAGGTCATCCCCATGCTGCGGCACAATGCAGTGAAGGTGCGAGCCCAAGGCTGACAATAGCTCTGGACCTGTTCCCACGCACAAAGCAGATCAAAGCAGCACCTCATGCACCTGGACACCGAACCAGCTGAAACTGAAACCATGGCCGAGCGACCGAACTGACACTTGGCAAGTTCCACAGCTTCAACTCTCGCTTTCCTTCGCAAGGCTGGTTGTTGCTTTATGGCCACTGTATGAACTTTAAGCCACAGCAAACTGATATCACTGATATCACTGATATCACTACAACTTACAAGATTCACATCACCCAAGCCACTGTTCAAACTGCGCGACCTCGCGCCTCCGCACGTCGCCGACAAGGGCAGGGGCACAGGGGCACAAAACAAAATAAGAAAAAGGCTCCACGGTTCTACTGTGTACTGGCGCAAAGGCTTCCATGATGATCTTCCATGCCTGTACACGAAGTCGTTCAAGAACTCGCGCAAGTAGACTGCGCAGTGAACCTTCGTGCCCAAAGGCCCAACAATCCGAAGATGCAGAGAAGAAGACAGCAGACTGGTCCCTCTCGGCTTTTAAAGAACGACACTCTGCGAGACTCGGCGGCCTCCCGGTGAAGCTGACGTCGCTTCAAGATTTGGGAGTTGTCGTGGAACACCTTGGGCCCGTCAAGCTCAGCGTGATCAGCTTGCTCTGCAAGACGGGAAGAGAGAAATAAATAGAAGTTTGACGGGCAGCACCACATGTCTTGCGTCTAAAAAAGAGGTGCCAAACCGAATACTTGAAGTTCCCCGAGTCCCGCTTTCAAAATCTGAGGCAGCAGCCGCATCATCAGGCATGTTGCTGCTCGCATCTGTCGGGTCCAAGATGCCACCTAGGATACTTTGCCGCTGCGAACGGCCACCAATCTCACTCCATTGTTTCACTCGGTTGTTCCTTGCGATTGCGACACAATCTCAAACTTGCCCCGAAATCAGCATTTCACACATCTCACACCTGCCTTCTTTTTCCATTGCTTTGGCAAACTGGTCTGTCTGCATCGCCAAGTGCCTTTGCAGGACGTGCTGGATGCATCTCATGCCAATGCGCCAATGCTGCACCGCTTGGGCGCTTGGGCACGCTTGGGCCCACGGCAGCTCACCGATCCAGGGCTCGAAACGCTCGGAGCCGAAGAGCAGGCTGAAGAATGTGGAAGGATCCATCTTGACCTCGGTGCCAGGCGCAACTGTGTGAAGCATGAAAAAAACGCAAAAAGCGTGTGAAAGCAACGTCTTTCGCTGCCTTTCTTGTTGGCTTCAGACTTGGGAGTTGGGAGCTCCGTGTCGGCAAGTCCCGGACGTTACCTTCCTTGATGCCGGCCTTGCCCTCCTTGTCATACTTCTTCCTGCTCAACCGTCACGCACGACATACACCGGATTTACATGCAGGACACTTGGAATGCTGCCGGGCAGAAGGTGCACTGGCCGGCACATAATGCACAAATCTCTTGTACATCCCTGTGTTCGCAGCACTCAATGCATCTACATTCGTCCTCGAATCGGGGTCGGACAGAACCTAGTGGATGCAGGTGCCCGGACGTCTCACACGCATAGCCGCCATTTGACAGGCAGGTATTTCCTGCAACCCCACCTGGTAGGCGTCTGCCAACTTCTGAAACTTGGCGTTTGCCTTAATTAAAGATAAGGGATTCTTGCCGAACTCGTGCCAATTGGCTGCTTTTGCACTATCGCCTACGCATCTCTGCCCTCAATCACGAAACCCCGCCACATCCCGGACCATTTGCTTGGAGCATCTTCGAACCCTGAACTTGCCTCAGCGTCGCCGGGGTTCTTGTCTGGGTGGCAAGCTCTTGCCTCCTGCATGGAACGGAGGAGCTCCGTCTTCGAACACAGCTGCAGCACTGGATAGTAAGGCCCCCTTGTCTCGAACAGGGTCGGTCGTATGCCTTTAACTCGCTTCTGCCCAAGCTGCCTGGCTAATGTTGCGCCCTGTATATGCTGTAACTAATCTCGAAGAAGCTGAGAAGCCAGATGATCTAGACACAGGACACCAACAATTATTTTGCTTCGAACATCCCCACCCTCTCTTGGTAGAGATCCTCTAGGGTTGGGCACTCCAGGGAACTCTGGCACTCAAGGACACTCTGCGGTTGGGCACTCCAGGCAGAATGTGGGGTTCGGCACTGCAGGGAGACTCGGGGCTGGGCACTCCCGAGACTCTGGGATTGGGCACTCTAGGGAGACTGGCGCTGGGACAATCTGGGGTTGGGCACTCCGGAGACTCTGGGGTTGGCTGCGGGAGACTCTGGGCCTGGCACTCCGGGGACACTCTGGGGTTGGGCACTCCACAGAGACCTGGTTGGGCACTCCAGGGAGACTCTGGGGTTGGGCGCTCTACGTAGGGACTCTTGAGTTGGGCACTCCAAGGACACTCCGATGAGTGAGGAGTAGGCCGGGCGAGGAGAAGAGTTCCGGGGGAGGAGAGTTTCGGGCGAGGAGAAGAGTTGAGTTTAAAATCTAACAACCCCACACCGAGGGTGGGGAATAAAAGGAAGAAGGGAGAAATCGCGAAAAAGAGGAGGGAGCATACAATTTCATCTCCAAACCCCCAACTCCTGAAACTCTTGAAGCCGGGCCTTGTAGTACGCCTTCTTGATCTCGGCTGAAGTCGCAGACGGCTTGACGCGTAAGAGGTCGTAGTACCTCTGCAGCGCTATCTCTGAAGAGCGGCAATCCGAGCGCGAGACGAAAACATGAGCCCGATCCACTTAAGGGCTACGACCTCTGCTTGCTGGAATTCCCGGAAGTATGTCATTCTTGCCCGCTCGGAACATGCAGAGTCGGTCCAAGAGGCTCCGTCTCTTTGACAGAAGCAGAAGGCGAGCAGCTGCCGCTGGCGCCACCCTCCTCGTCGTCGGATCCTTCGGCGAGGACCTGTGCTGGATCACGCCGCTAATCATTGCACAAGTGCAAGGTTTATTGCATTGACCTCAGACATGGTGGCTCCGGGGTCCTGCTCCTCCAGCTTGACAAGGTCAATGTCCACCTCGGCAGCTCTGCTCCACTCTTTGCCAATGCATCCCTTTACATTCCTTAATGTGACATGGTTGAAAATACTCACATTCCATACTCCATAAGAAGCACCTGGCAGCAATGTCGGGATTGTAGCCATTGTGGCCTTTTGTGCCGAACCTGCCTGCAGCGCCTACAAACTTGATTGTTGATTGCTGCGTCGACACCCACTGGCCGAGCTCATCATCCCAAACTCGCTGCTCGCGGCGGCCACGCATAGCCTGCACAGGTGTGGGCATTCTGCAACCGGCCTCCGAATGAACGACCACAGAAGACAGTAGACACCGCCCACGCCTCAGGCGTGTTGGCAATGCCACGCCCGATCTGCGCGACGCCACCTGAGTGCGGCGGTTTGCGAAGGCGGCACAAGCGAGCTTTTTCTAAGGTGTCACAAGCGAGCTGTTTCTAGAAGGTTCTTGCGTGCAGAAGAAGTCACATGCAGTCCCTGCCACAGCAACTGCAGCACCTGCATAGACAAATCAAATATCTGGTGTGGTTCATGTCAGCCCGTGGACGAATTTTCCTCTCCCCTGCAACCATTCGGCCCGGATGAAGAGTGAAAAATGGTCGAAGCACTGGCAGCACGATCCCTTTGCCCCAGACACCGGCCTGAAAGCAGGCCAGCACCCAAGCCCTTCACCATGCCGAGGCCGCCTGCACTTTGGAAAGCACATATGATGCAAACTGGCTCCGACTCATCATCGCAATGATATTCAATGGTCAAGTGGCATGGAGCATACACCATAGTCCACCCAGCCTCCAGACTGGTAGCCAGAATACCCACCCACCACCACGCTTCCAAGGCCAGCCATCACGCTTGTGGTAGCCGTGGATACACCCCTCCTTATGTTGGCCGTGCGATTTCGAAGTCTTCTTCACAATATCAAGTGAAAACTAAGCACAAGCTGCATCCCTAAAAGGCTAAAAAGTCTCAAACTCGTCACTTGTTGCAGCTCAGGCTCCAAAGGCCATCTGCAGCGTCCTGTGGCGATCTTGGGGGGGTCAATCCCACGACTGCGGTTTGGGAAGAACGCATCTGCTAGGTCCGACTCGTAACTTTCGCTGCAACCGGGCTGCTACAATAGCGTGGATACCGGCCGCTGCTACAGTGCTACATAAAACGAATTTGCCCTAGGCTCACATTCATGTCTGCAGCTCCTTTGGCCGAGTCTGGTTCATGAACGCACCGACCTGTCATTCAACACTCACTCAACATGACTGCAAAAGAAACACTCTAGGATGCTCTACGCTGACGGCTGTTCGGTTCGTGCTTCTGCCGTTGTGCATCGTCCGCGAAATGCAACTAAAACCCGAGGCGAACACCCATACAGTAGGCCCCGACTACCAAAATTTCAATAATTTAAGAACTAACGCCAGTATATAACATGACTATCGCTGGGGTGGGTTGATGGCCAGCGTCACCTCGAATCTAGCACCCGCCCTCACCGTATCAGCAGCGGAGTACGAAGAGACTAGCACAAGCTCTGAAGCTCTTTCAACAACCTGCGACGCCGGCTCTGCAGCCCCGGGCCCATGCGCAAATAGACAGAAAGAACAAGCATGCAGCTTCAGGGAGTTCGCTTCACGGGTCACCACAAAACGACTTCGATGCCACTGAAGCTCCAGACGCCCTCCGCGCACTGCCTGTTTACTACAAAGCTTTCGAGCCACTGGACCTCCGGTATTACTTTGGTGCCGCTACCAGTACCAGAGCCCCGGATGTCCCCCGAAAACACAAAAAACAACGACAGTTTCACATGTCGTGAACCCCGACATCCCAAAGAGACGACAATTTCGCATTTCGTGAACCCACATGTTCAAGAGCAACGACAGCTACGAGGATGGCGACGTCGATGCGCGCTGCACCTAGGCCGGAGGGTGATTCCCAATGTCCCGACATGCAAATTCTTTTAGTGTGGCCACACGCAGCGAAAACATCCAACGACCCAAAACGCAAAAATCTACGCGCCTGCCACGTTTTCAGGACACAGAGCGATGCAAGCCTCAATAAGTGCACGGGACCTAGACGAGACCGCAGTTCGCCACCATCCACGAAGTCAAAAGCATCCGTGCGGTTGAAAAAAGTACGAGCGTATCAAGGCGCCGAGTGCGCATATGTCACTCTAAGACTTTATTTAACCTTGACCGAAAGAAACCCTCACATCAAGGAGCATCTGAAAGGTAAACTTGTAATCAGTATAATTCAGTGCTCAGACGTGCGGCAACCATCGTCTCTTGTCACCATTCGTCAACACCGGTGGGTGCTCCAGCAAGAAATGGCAGTGGTGTCTGTTGCCGGTGGTTGGCAAAGGCTGACATAGTTGAGACCGTGACGTCGTTGATGCTGATGCTGTTGTCGCCGCTGAGGTCCGTGAAGTGTCCGTGACTTCATTGACGCCACTGCTGCCGTCTGAAAGGAAAAACTTGTTCTAAAAATCTTCACGTCCTAGCGTCCTCGTGTATGCGGCGGAAAAACCCGTGTCTTCGCATCTTCGCGTCTGCGGCCAAAATCGGCCAACCCTCAACCCCCCCCCCCACTTCCCCACCCCGTACGGACATCAATAGGAAAAGTCACAATAGAGGCGTGCAGAACATCTTTGTGCGTGCGGGCCACAGCAGACGCCACATAGATGCCCACGTCCCGTGTGGCACCCTAGGGTGTTCCCCAAGAGCAACCGCAGCCCACCACCCCGCCTTAGAATCTTGGAAAACCAACGGTTGCCGTCCTAGGAAATAACCAGTCGTTTCTTGAAGCCGACGTAGAAGAGTTCCCGATTGTTCTACCAGGCCGCCTTAGAAACTAGCGTCCACCTTAGACAAACCACAAGCTTTTCCAACGGCCGCTGTAGAAAAAGCACGTTTTTCTTTCTAGCACACCGCGGTAGAAAAACCGCCGGCTTTCTGGTAGCCGCCTGTCAACACAAGCCTGCGCAAGATCTTCGAGCCACTGCGTTGGAAAAACCGCCGGCTTTAGAAAAACCACCGCTGTTTCTGGCGACTGCAAACCACCTTGGAAAACCCGTTGTAGCAAAAAACACCTCAACCACCTAAATTAGAAGAACCGCCTTAGAAATACAGTCTCCAGTCTCAACTTTGCCATATTCTCTGTGTTCTAAATTGAAGCTTTGCCGCGTTGAAATTAATACTTAGTGGCAAACGACACCGCCGATAACCCTGCTACTCCGCAATCGCCTTCTCCAAAGAGGCAATAGAGTAGTGGCTTAGAGTGGCCCCACAGCTCGAAACTTTTGGCCCGGGGATGTAGTCCATGCTTTGCCTGCCTCGGGAATGACCCCCTGCGCCTAGGAACTAAGGTGGCTCACACGAAGAGTGCCTGAGCTTCCACTTTGGCATTCTCCTCGTCGCCCTGCTGCGGGTCCTGCGCACCTGAAGCCCGCAAAGCACGAGCCGCTCAGATTCGGACTGTGCGCTCAAATGCGCTCGACCAAGCTCCGAGCCGGTCGCCGCCAACTCTGTGCATTCAGATGGGGGCGCCGAGGGCTTCGGGAGCTCCGGCTCCTCAACCTGGCGACAGGCGAGTTGACCACCTACAAAGCGGAGCGAGCACAGCTTTGCAGCATGGGGGTCCTGGGTGGCCGCTGCACTGGGAGGCGAAGCCCGCGGCGGCATGAAGCGCGGCAAGCTGTCGCTTTGGAAAATTGTGACCTCTGACAGACTCTGACAGACTCTGACCGACTTTGAGGGCACCCGAACAACCGAGCCTTGCTTTCACAGGTTCACAAATGAATCCTACATATCTGCCGCCGGCTCAGCTCAGTCCTTGCGCAAAGAACGTTCTCCTAAGGTGCCACTAAGCTGCTTTGACCACCTCAGTCCACGGGATTTCAGGCAGCGCTTGCCGGGATTCAGGCGCAAGGCTAGTGCACCACAACTAGAAGGGTTACATCCACGGCATGATGACAGTCGCGCAAGCACAAGGGTGCCAAGCTCGTCCCTCTGTCTCAACATGCAAGTAAGTTGCCGTCAGGTTCCCAACCTTTTGGCTCTCAAAACAAGCCAGTTTAGGTCGGCAATGAAATGAACGGCTAAACTCAAAACGGAGCCAGATAGCGAACAGTTGGGGGCAGTGCTCTCGTGGCTGGCTACTGCCAATAAACGCACATGCGACAGCTTACTACACGCATCTACACGCCACCTATATCAACCAACGGCGCCTATGCAAACCCTGCCACCCAATGTGTCCTGCTGCACAAAAGACAGTTGAGAAAAGTTAGCCGGCCAAAGTCGGCCATTGTTCAATCGGGGAGCCGCAGCTGCAAGCCATGCACAAGTCGTATCAGAAGACACCACCTGTCACAAGCACAGCAAAAAATGAGGACTCTACACACAATCGCGGAGCACCGCAAAGCAGTGTGTTGAATGACTACGTACAAACAGCTTGCAAGAACCAACAACCCTATATACAAGTATGTGGCTCTGACATGACCATGCGCATGCCGTTTCCATCCTGGGCGCCCATCTGCAGCGGCTGCGCGTGATCAAGCTCGGCCTTCCTAGGGGTCAAGCAACAACCACAAAAGTGAATCGCATGTAGAGAGAATTGTGTGGTATCAGGCACCACCTGCAATAACGACTGGGTCTCAATTCGGATTGACTACGGACTAAGAACCACAAGGAGGTTGCTACCGACAATCAAGTGGTGCTCGACGTTGCTCGTCGAGGCTCAGGTCTGCCGGAGGCATTCCGACAAAGCAAGCCTCAGGGAAACGCCCAGCCAGCGACGGTTGAGCTCCAATGGCACAGTGTTTGCCTTGTCGTGCCATGCTTGTGAATGCTTGTGAATGCTTGTGAGATTCAAGACCGAGCAACGAAGCTAGGCTCTTGGAGGCGCGGGTTTGCAAAGGCCTTGGCCAACAAAATTCTGCATAACGCGCCGCCTCTCTCTCGGAGGAGGCGCGTTGACAATGGAACACGGCAGTTGGGACATGTGGGGACCGTGTGATGCGGTGCCCGCTCCCAAGCACCCGCTGTGAAAGCACTATTTTTCCAGCAAAGCCAAGGCCGGAGCAACAGAAAAGTAGATGTCTTTGTCCTGGGACACAGACAGGGCAGTGTGTCTTTTTTCTTGAAGAGTGACTTCAGGGCACGTTGCCCTCTATCTAAGCCTGGATTTCTGCCAACACTGAACTGCTCGTACCGTCCTCCTTGTCGACAAACCATGCGACTCCAGCCACGCCCTTGATCGCTTGCGACTCAAACCTCATGCCATCATGGCTGGGGACTTTAAAGTTTGCTGCGTCAAGCTGCATTCTAAGCATCGCAGTTCAAATCCCTCAGGCAACTTTCGAGGTGACCCCACAATCACAATTTCCGCACCAACCGGGCCCGCAACAAAGTGTCGTTTCGTCGTGCCCTTCTGGCGCACAGTCGAAAACAGAGATTCGCCACTGGAACGCAACCGAGCGCTCTGCTGCCCTGCTTGGTTATTGGCAACGCTAAAGTTCGTAGTCGCTACATGCACTCAACCCATTTAGGGCCTTGTGCTTGATGGGAAACGCACCCCCGATCCAGCAAAGGAATCAAAGGCGATGGCCACGGTAGAATGTTTAACGAAGGTTTGACCAGCTTGCGAAGCAGCCGGCGTTGTTATGAGCAGAAGTCGAGAGGAAGACTTGAACGCAA